GTAAGGTCATCTAAATCTCGCTATTGTGTGCCCTCAGAGATGTGAACGACTATGCGAAATGTTTAACTGGACTACAACTGTTTGTCACAGATAGAGATAAAGAATTCGAGTCAGCCAAAACCAACTGAAGGCATTAGGGGGGACAACCCTGTGGTGAGATTCTACTTTATAGCTAACAGTTGATGATTCAATTTAACAGCAACTGGAACAAAAACCTATGCTTTTATCAAATGTTCAAATAAGATTTTTACTATGTGTTCTCAGTGATAGAAGGCACTGTATCAACTGGTGCAAATACAACAAGTAAAACAAATTCAACTACATATCCACCGCATCAAATACAGCTAATTCCTCTGTTACCATGGTAACAACAACTGGTGTAGAAAATATGTCATCCGTCACCAGTCAGCTATAGTTAAGTCCACCCCTACAAAACCACAAATCGTAAGTCATATTTTCTCTTGTAGATCGCATTCGTTATCTCACGTCTGGTGGGTACCAGTCCTTATCCCTAGGCATGTGTGTACCAATCCTTATCCCTATCCCTGTGTGTAATCAATCCTTATCCCTAGTCCCGTGTGTACCAATCCTTATCCCTAGTCCTGTGTGTACCAATCCTTATCCCTAGTCCTGTGTGTACCAGTCCTTATCCCTATCCCTGTGTGTACCAATCCTAATCCCAGTCCTTTGGGTGGCAATCTTCATCTGTAGGCTCAGAAGGCTGACGAAGTAGAGTTTATCTGACCTCGATTACACGAAACAGCTGTGGCCTGAATTAAGCAGAACACTTTTACATCTGTCAGTTCTAGACAAGTGCCAACACTGCTGGGTAGATGAGGGTTCGAACCCCGAGATCCCGAATTTAAGACTTTCTTCTGAAACATCTGATATTTACTTTTTTTTTTAATTTTCAGGAGCTGAATCCCTGGCCCAGAACCACTGGAGGTGTTGCTTTAATTTCTTTGGTCATCTTGTCCTGGTGGTTCCACATCTAGAGGCTGTAACGGTTTAGAGGAGGCACCATCTAGAGGCTGTAATATAGCTAGAATGTACGCTAGAAAACAAGCTGTAAGCGCGCTCCCTACCACCCCCACCCCTACATGATCAGGTGAGCTGTGGTTCACGCTAAATGTTTACAAGCAGAGCCGGGTTAAGTGACGACTATTAGGGGCAGATAATTTAGTTTGAAAACGATTTTAAACGTAGGGGGGAGGGGGGGTTATCGTCCTTAACGAGCTACTTACAGTGTTTTAAAGAAATATTTTCAGTGGCAGCATTACAGTCGAATTCACAAATAATGAATTACTGATAAGTGGAAAAAAAACAACTAAATAGCGGCATATGATATGCCGCGGGTCGGCTCGTTAAAACATAATTTTAATGTTTAGATATATTTGATAGGACAAAAATTGTTTTTGAATTTTTTTTATAATTAACATGTAGTGAGACATAGTAGACTACATTACATATACAATCCAGTGTTTTTTTTTTACAATTATTTTACATTTTATATTTGATCAATTACGATGATACCTAGCTCATTTGCTCCATAATTTGTTACATTTTGGCCAAATAAAATAAATATGTATGCAAAAATAATTTTGTACATATATATATATATATATATATATATATATATATATATATATATATATATATATATATATATATATATATATATATATATATATATATATATATATATATAGGCTATATATCGACTAACGCTCAATTAAATTAATGTGTCTTTCATGTTAAAATTTATTAATTACTATGCTGTCTGTATAATGTTTGACACGGTTAAGATAAAACACCAATTGTCATTTAGTTGTTTGGGCATATTTCAGATTTCGTTACTAAAGACGTTTTCAGAACATTGATCACACACTTGCAATCTAACAAATGCTAAACGTCTTAACAAACTCGCTTTTGTTATTTGTAAAAAAAAGAATTTTTGTGTTTTAATGTTTGTGTTCATAATACAGTATTGAGTATTTTAAATAAAATAAAATCTAATCTAGAAAGTATTTCTCGTTTATGGTGTGTTTTATTTTGTTGTGTCGATTGGTGTGTCGATTGGTGTGTCGATTAGTGTGTCGATTGGTGTGTCGATTGGTGTATCGATTGGTGTGTCAATTGGTGTGTCGATTGGTGTGTTGATTGGTGTGTCGATTGGTGTGTCGATTGGTGTGTCGATTGGTGTGTCGATTGGTGTGTCGATTGGTGTGTCGATATCTTAAAGAAACGTGTTTTATAAACGTGGACTATACAAATTTTAATACAGAAATCCATTAAAAATCCAGACACATATAAATACCTATAGGGAATATATGTATATATACATATATATGTTAATGTATACATAGACATAAATATCTATGGATATCTATGTATCTCTATGTATATCTATGTATATCTATGTATATCTATGTATATCTATGTATATCTATGTATATATATATATATATATATATATATATATATATATATATATATATATATATATATATATATATATATAGGCCTATATGAGGTAGGCAATAAATATGAAGAATTCGCTAATAGTTTTTATCTGTTCCTATATGACTTAACATTTCTTCCTGGTAATTCCATAACTGGTTACATTTCACACCTAGCTACTGTTCAAATAATTGCCTGATCTCCATAACCAATCATTGATCTATCGATCAGACCCTGTGCTGAATGTGTAACTATTGAACTCATCTCTGTGTCGAACTTCGATGAAACAGTACCAAGTTCGTTGCAAGTCCCCTCTATTTGGAATTCTCACCCATATAACAAATTGAACTAAACTCATCATCCTATATAAATATATATATATATATATATATATATATATATATATATATATATATATATATATATATATATATATATATATATATATATATATATATATATATCCCACTCTCCCACATAGACCTACAATGAATAAGCCACCCGTCCCTATAGATCCGGCACCTCCCATAAGCGTGACTAGAGAACCAACCCACACCCCACCTTCCTTGTTTTGTGGTGCCCCACACAAATCATTCCTATCCCATACACCCAAACAAGTCCGCAGCCCACTGCGTCTGAGACTGGTCCTACGTCATCATTACCCCGAACTCCTGACCAGCCTTTATTTGATTAGCTACGTCACACATCAAACAGACCTTGCATGACCTACCCGTTGCGACACACTAACGCGATACACTAAGTAGAAACACGCAAGGTAGAACTCAACTCAAAAAACCGCAGTAACAAAAGGGTTAATAAAGGAAATTAAAAACAAAATAGAAAATAAAAACAAGATGCTTTTCAATATTCTAGGACTCCTTCTTTTATTTAGAGGTAAGTTATTTTAATTTAAAAAATTGATTTGATTTACAAACGTAACCTGCCTTTATGTAAACAAAAATCCTGTTAAAATTTGAAATTAAAAATTAAGTGATAAAAAAGAAATTAAATGACCCATGAAGGTTTTCACTAATTAAAGAAAATCACGTTTAAACTTAAGCATTTATTTTTTAAATGTTACTTTTTATGTTTTAAATGTTTTTATTAAAAAATTTACGATCTTCAAAAATGACTGAACTTATATACGGGCAACAAGCCGGTGTTTTAGAGCATAGCAATTTAAGGAGTTTAATGAAAGAAAGTAAATAGCTTAGCTATGATTTATTTTGTTTATTTATTTCATCATCAGCTACCTTCGCCCAAACAACACCAGGTACGTCAGGTGGTTAACTTAACGGTACACATAATTAATTTGACTAATTACGCAAAATAAAATTAAAACCACAAACAATTTTAATATTAATAGCTTCTTACTCTTCATTAGACCTATTATAATTAAACATCAATTATGTTACCTGTGATAATTAATTAATTAATTAATTAAAGTTGCTTTTCTTGGTTTTTCGACCCCGTCACACTCCATTGCCCCCGCCTATCGCAGACTGTAACACGCAAGAACAACTTTGTATGGAAACCTACAGCAGCAACCTACAGCAACATGGCGACAACATCACACATGTCTGCAGGTAACGTCATACACCTTCACTGCTCGGTTTTTGTAGTTAGCAAACTTATTGAATTCAATTCTGAAGACGTCCTCTGTGATTTATCTCAAACAGCCTTTATAGATAAATAGTATTAATTTTTTTTTTAGTGTGTTCATTGTTTAAATTTTACAATACTAGATGAGCAGAAATCAATGCCGAAATAATGTGTAACATTTCATCCCAAGGGCTTGTTTATAATCTTCAGTTGTTAAAACACACGAAATTAAGTTGTTATAAGCAGCATGTTGAGTTTTAGAAGGTCTAGAATGAAAGCTTGGTTGTAGATGTAGTGTCAATCTAAGGAGTGCATGAGGTGCTTTACGATGCTAATCATACCATATAGGTCTTCGACAGCATTCAAAATATAATTGGAACGTACTAATAACCAAGACTACCCCCCCCCCCCACACACACACAACCCCCACACAGACACCATCACCAGCACAAACATATCCCAACTAAAACTCTGCCTGTGTTTAAAATTATTCCATGTAAATATTTAGCCTGGTGAAATATTTACATTTTCCACATATTTTTTTTCCAGCGGTCTGAAAGATTTTGTTGCATGTGTCAACACTATCACATGCAGGACGGAGGAATATAAAAAACAAATAATACAGCAGGGGAAGATGATACTAAGTGTACCGTGTCGTAAGTACTTCCTGTAGCACGGGGGTGGGGGGGGGGGGCAGTGGATGCAATAGGTGGGGGGTGGTTGTTTGTAGGTAAATTAATGAACTGTTGATGTAAAAAAACTAATACAGCAGAAAAAACAGAATCAAAAGAACTAAAAATAGAATGTGGGAGAAAGATTTAGAAGACATAAAGCTAAAAACAGGCTAGGTACGGCCGGCTGAGGTGTGTACGCATTAATACACCTATTAGATGCTAGTTTAAACAAGATGGCCGCCACTACGCAGATCTTGAAACGTTTCTGTTTGCTCGCTTCATCTAGGCGTGAGTTTGTGCAAATATTGAAATACCCGACCTAGATCTAGATCTAGCTACACACACGAACGAATCCGATAGATGTGATAGTGTGATAGATAATTAAAAGTTTTACCAACTGTCCATACACTTGTGATATACTTTAATTCCGATTTATTTTTTGTATGTGAGTTCATCTATTCTATTTAGCAGCCTAGACACTTAGGACACTCAACACCACTTGTGACTCAGGTTTATACTGAGGTTTATATCACACATCGTCACAAATAGCCAGACCCCCCTAAAATGACGTCACACCTCAGCCTACAACGCCCCCCCCCCCCCACTCAAAATTGTAGTTGAATTTTTTATTAAAACATCGATATTTTTTCCACAATCTTGTCTGAACTCTGTCAACATAGAGTATTTTAATCAATTCCTATTACAATTTATTAAAACCGTTTTCTAAAACGCGAAATAACGGCTGAAGCTCGTTTTCTTACATTGCTTTTTTTTTTTTTTGAAAAGTGTGACGTCACACCATCAGAACCCCCCCTCCCCCCATCCCCCTACGAGTGTTACGTGATTTATGGACGACTCCTAACTTCTTGATCTCCCGTGGTCTGAGTAATATCCAGGGGGACTCTTTCGTTTATATTTTTTTTTTTAAAGGCTAATTTTAAAACTTGTTTTTTTTTAGCTTGTTTTGAAAGCCAGGACCAATGTTTGTCAACATTCGTCGCTAGAGTATACCCACACGCCAACAACCAGACATTAGTCTGTAGGTAAGAAAACAAAGCAATAGTTTCTACATTCGTATACGGTGTTGATGTCGGTGTATGTAAAAACTACTGTAATCCTTCTAAAACTTTCCTTTCTCTATTGTATCCTCCCAGAGACGTGAGCGACTATGAGAAATGTTTAACTGGACTCAACTGTTTGTCGCAGGCAGAGATAAAGAATTTGGTCAACCAAACTCAGCAGCTGGTGTTGAAGGGGACAGTTTGTGGTGAGATAAAATGTTGAAGGGGACAGTCTGTGGTGAGATAAAATGTTAAAGGGGACAGTTTGTGGTGAGATAAAATGTTAAAGGGGACAGTTTGTGGTGAGATAAAATGTTGAAGGGGACAGTCTGTGGTGAGATAAAATGTTAAAGGGGACAGTTTGTGGTGAGATAAAATGTTAAAGGGGACAGTTTGTGGTGAGATAAAATGTTAAAGGGGACAGTTTGTGGTGAGATAAAATGTTAAAGGGGACAGTTTGTTGTGAGATAAATTGTTAAAGGGGACAGTTTGTGGTGAGATAAAATGTTAAAGGGGACAGTTTGTGGTGAGATAAATTGTTAAAGGGGGCAGTTTGTGGTGAGATAAAATGTTAAAGGGGACAGTCTGTGGTGAGATAAAATGTTAAAGAGGACAGTCTGTGGTGAGATAAAATGTTAAAGGGGACAGTTTGTGGTGAGATAAATTGTTAAAGGGGACAGTTTGTGGTGAGATAAATGTTAAAGGGGACAGTTTGTGGTGAGATAAAATGTTAAAGGGGACAGTTTGTGGTGAGATAAAATGTTAAAGGGGGCAGTTTGTGGTGAGATAAAATGTTAAAGAGGACAGTCTGTGGTGAGATAAAATGTTAAAGGGGACAGTTTGTGGTGAGATAAAATGTTAAAGGGGGCAGTTTGTTGTGAGATTAAAATGTTAAAGGGGGCAGTTTGTGGTGAGATAAATTGTTAAAGGGGACAGTTTGTGGTGAGATAAAATGTTAAAGAGGACAGTCTGTGGTGAGATAAAATGTTAAAGGGGACAGTTTGTGGTGAGATAAAATGTTAAAGGGGACAGTTTGTGGTGAGATAAAATGTTAAAGGGGACAGTTTGTGGTGAGATAAAATGTTAAAGGGGGCAGTTTGTGGTGAGATAAAATGTTAAAGGGGACAGTTTGTGGTGAGATAAAATGTTAAAGGGGACAGTTTGTGGTGAGATAAAATGTAAAAAGGGGACAGTTTGTGGTGAGATAAAATGTAAAAAGGGGGCAGTTTGTGGTGAGATTAAAATTGTTTCCTGTGCTTTCCGTTCCTACATAATCAAATCACTCATGTGATAATATCTTGAAAGCCTTGAATTTGGTACTTGGACTTTAAAAAAAAAATGTCCCCGAAAATATAACTTTAACAAGCTAACCTACATATTGCTATATATTTTAGACTTATCTGCTTAAATTAATTCAATGTAATCAAATTTTTGAACCAGATAAAACATTTTTAAAATAATACGTATCTTAATTGTCTTTTTATTTTTAGTTTATTGGAAAATAATTTTGCAAACAACTATTAACACATGAAAATAATCGATTTTTTTTATTTTTTCTCTCACCGATTACCAGCTGCTCAACCAGGTAATTTCTTTCATTATTTTTCCATTGTCTTTATTTACCTAACAAAAAAGTTTAGACTTAACCAACATAAACTTCGAAACAAAGACGCATTTGAATAGTACCTTTACGGGCCTGATGAATATAATGTGTGGTCAGTTGTATGTTTTAATGAGATTAAAATTACACATTCTATATTCAAAACAGCTTGCGATCTAGAATTCCAGTGTTTAAACACTTTGAGTGAAAACTTTGCATCACACGGAGAAGACCAGGCATTAGTTTGCAGGTAAAAATTTGGTAATCGATTCCATCATCTGCATTAAACACGACTATCAACTACACATTAAAATCGATTCTCGAATTTTTAATGACAAGTTATTTGTAGAAATTATTCCACCATTTTTACATTTACCAACGTCCGGAGATATTCAAGTGTTTAAACACATAGTTTTGTAGAAATAAACTAAACGAGCTGACCCGCTTCGTATCATACGCCGCTATTTAGTTGTTTTTTTTCTACTTTTCAGTAATTTATAATTTGTGAATTCGACAGTACCAATGCTGCCATTGAAAATATTTGCTTAAAAACACTACCCCCCCCCCCCCCCCACCCACGTGAAAGCAGCCTCCTCTTAGTTACCTCCTCTAAGTTTAAAATCGTTTCAAACTAAATTATCTGCCCCTAATAGCCGTCACCAAACCCGTCTCTATGATTGTAAAATGTAAACAGAGTGAACACCGCTCACCAGATCATGTGGGGGTGGGGTGGGGGTGGTAGTGATAGAGAGGAAGAGAGGGGACTGCAAAGGCGCGCTTGCAGCTTGTTTTCTAACTGATCCCAGAAGAGAATTATATATATAGATCCTTTTTAGATTACAAACTTCTTGAGATATTCAAGTGTTTATTTCATACAACAACAATATCAACTGCAAAACTGAAACAGTGTTTAAACACATAATTTTGTAGAATGGACTAAATTATTTTTTAATTCTAAACGTCCCGAGTTTTTCAAGCGTTTAAACACAAAATTTTGTTGAATTAACTAAATCTCTTTTCAATTCTAAACGTCCCGAGTTTTACAAGCGTTTAAACACAAAGTTTTGTTGAATTAACGAAATCTCTTTTCAATTCTAAACGTCTAGAGATACCCAAGCTTTTATTTCCTGTATCAACAATATCAACTGTAAAACTGAAACGGAGAAATCCTTGTTGATTAAACAGGGCAGAAGTCTTTTGGGCTTTCCATGTCGTAAGTACAGAATTTTTATTGACAGGTGGTTGGGTGGGTGAGTTTCATAAATGTGTGCGTGCGTGCGTGTGTATGTGCGAGTATGTGTGTGTGTGCGTGCGTGCGTGTGTGTGTGTAATTTAATAATAAGAGTAGCATAACAGACTGTTAATGTTAGTAGCTCTATATTCCTCTTTTCAGCTTGCTTGGATGGTCAAGACAAATGTTCCTCAACGTTTGCTACCGCCGTATACCCCCACCTAAATAACCAGACATTAGCTTGTAGGTAAGAGAACAAAACAGAATATTTTGTCACATACACATTATGTTGTAACAACAACATCGCCTGTATAAAGCTACTGTGTCTTACTTTCCTCTATTGTATCCCCTCAGAGACGTGAGCGACTATGAGAAATGTTTAACTGGACTCAACTGTTTGTCGCAGACAGAGATAAAGAATTTGGTCAACAAAACTCAGAAGTTGGCTCTAGGGGGGATCATCTGTGGTGAGGCTCAGCGCTTCCTTTTACATTAGGAAACTCATGTACAATTAACGACAGAACAATTTTAGTTTCGCTTATTTTCGTTTTACGCCGGTCTCGTAATAAATAGATTACTTCTCGTTTGTAACTTTCAGAGACGACAACACCATCAACAGCATCAACCACAACAACAACACCATCAACTACAACACCGTCAACAACATCAACCACCGCACCGGCAACAGCATCAACCACAAGAACAACAGCATCAACCACAGCAACAACAGCCACCACAAAGTCTCCAGGAACTACAACTAAATCTTCTGGAACAGGTAATTCATTTTAAATTGTTTCAACTACAATATTTTATCTTTATTCACTCAAAAAAATCTCACCAAACAAGTTTTACGTTGTTTCATATATTTGTATTGTACTGTGGTATTGTTGTATCATATATTTCTATTGTACTGTGGTATCGTTATGTCATATATTTTTATTGTAACATGGTATCGTTGTGTCATATATTTGCATTGTAACGTGGTATCGTTGTATCAGATACTTGTATCGTACTATGGTATCGTTATGTCATATATTTGTATCGTACTATGGTATCGTTATGTCATATATTTGTATCGTACTATGGTATCGTTATGTCATATATTTGTATCGTACTATGGTATCGTTATGTGTCCCCAGCATGCGGCACGGGTCCCCAGCTGTGCCAATCAAAGTTCGTTCAGGCTTTCATGTCCCACGTGACAACACCCCAGCTAATGTGCACGTGAGTACTGCCTTCCCTGCTCGATTTGCTATATTTAGCTTACAGATCTTTGTCTAATTGTCCTACCCTCCATGCTATGATCGGCTCTACTCACCTGTCCCTCTACCTCCCCACCCCACACCCTCCATTGAACGAGTATTACATGTGACCTCTGAACTCAAACCATGTGACTCTCCCAGAGACCTTAAAGATGTGGAACTTTGTCTGCGTGCTCTGGGATGTCTGAGCGAGACAGAGCTACGAACCATACTGGACCAAAACAAAAATCAGCTGATTGTTGGGGGCGTTTTGTGTGGAGCTGGTAGGTTTTCTGAGCTTTTTCATTTTATTCTTCAAACCAAACTAATTATTTGAATCTAAAAAAAAAATTGTTAGCGGTTTTACCTATGACAAAAACGTTCCCGTCCTTCGTCACTAAAAAATGTCTCCTGCTAAATTAAATTGTGTAGGAAAATTCACGAGTTTCTGATATCTTTTAAGCACAATTTGAGTTTCTGGTGGAGCTAAGATGTTCACTGTAGAACCAGCACAATTAAAAAAAAACACCATGGCTTAGTCATGTCTGTAACCCCACCCCATAAAATCCCACTTTACAAAAAACCCAACCCACACCCCCCACCATCCTACTCCACCATTCCCCCATTCCCCCACCCCACCCCACCATCCCCCCCACCCCACCATCACCTTTCCCCACCACCACCATTCCCCCACCCCACACCACCATTCCCCCACCCACCATTCCCCCTCCACCACAATCCCCACCATTCCCCCACCACCACCATTCCCCCACCCCACCATCCCCCGCCACCACCACCATTACCCCACCACCACCATTACCCCACCACCACCATTCCCCCACCCCACCATCCCCCGCCACCACCACCATTACCCCACCACCACCATTACCCCACCACCACCATTCCCCCACCCCACCATCCCCCGCCACCACCACCATTACCCCACCACCACCATTACCCCACCACCACCATTCCCCCACCCCACCATCCCCACCACCATTCCCACCATGCCTCTACACTTAGTAACCCCCACGCTCTGATAACCCCCCTTGACATTGCTCATATTAATATAACAATATATTTTTTTTTAAATCTCCAGATGGTAACGTGACAATCGTAAGAAATACACCACCACCAACAACCCCGTCAACTTTAGGTTGGTGTTCCAGAATATCGTGTGTGTGTGTGTGTGTGTGTGTGTGTGTGTGTGTGTGTGTGTGTGTGTGTGTAATTGTGTCGTGTCTTTTTGTGAAGTTATTGTTTTTTTTTTTAAATAATATTTAAGGCTGTAATAGGTGAGTCAATTTTTCGATAAGAGTAGGGGAGTGTTAAAGGATTTATTCCCATAATACCGCGTTTACACTTGCGACATGTATACTATACATGTCTAGAAAAAAAAATTCGCAATAAGTGAGTAGGCTCCCCTATTATCTTAGGCCTTATAGCAACGTTTTTTTTTCCCTTAAATGTATAGTATACATGTCGCAAGTGTAAACGCGGTATAACTTTTAAGCATCGACTATTATGAATGGTGTGCTAATGGAGGCGACCGAGTTCACTAGAGTCCTTCCATAAGACTTTTCTCGCTCGGGTCCATTTAGTTGGAACTAATGGCTTACAATTTTTTTTTCTTTAATTTTTCAGTAGAACTCTAACTCAACTGGGTAAATGCTAGTTGGGTGATGAGTAGTTTGCGTTAAGGGAGGGGGTGTGCTAGAATGTTACATAAAATAAGTGATTCTAGCCTATAGAAATGTTACATGGGGTAAAGTCTGTTGGAAAATATCCCGGTTTTTTTTATGTTTGATATTATGTGCAAGTTCCTCAAATAAATTAGGAAGAACTTAAAACTGTGTTTTTCTCAAACTAAAATTTAAACACTAAACTAAAATATGCCGAGAAATGTCTTTGACCTTCGTGGTCGAGCAATTTTAAATTGAGAATTTCATTGAATCAAGCAAAACATATATCTCCTTTTTTTCTTTCAATGAGAGGATTTGGTGCACATTTGTTTAGTATGAGAGGTTTTTGAATATGTCATTAAGCCATTTGTTTTTCTTCCTTATTCCTTTGATACAAAGCCTGACAATGAATTACATCAAGTCAGGGGCGTAGCGAGGGGGGGGGGGGCGGGGGGTGCGGACCGCACCGGGTGACACCATTTAGGGGGGTGACACCAAGGCAAAAAATAGCAAAATATAGAGAGAAAAACTCGAGGGGGGGGGGTGCAAATCGAAAGTTTGAGGGGGGGGGGGTGCAAATCGAAAATTTGAAAGTTTGTCCCTGGGAAGGGTCTCTATGCCTCTGGGGGGGTGACACCATTAAGTGCCGCACCGGGTGACATCCGACCTCGCTACGCCACTGCATCAAGTGACTAAAATATAAAACATTGCCCTTGTTTATTTTACAGCATGCAGCACGAAGAAAAACAACTGCGTGGCTAACTACGTCATGACTACTCTATACGACGGTTACAGTAACTCTTTAGTGTGCAAGTACGTGTTCTAGACTAGATTCTTGTGTACCCGGCCCAAACTTTGGTTCTACACCCCAACAGTAAACCTTCACTCTAAACACAACCCGAATCATGGGTCTGTCCCTAGCACTCACCCCAATCATGATGTAAGGTTCTACCCCATACCATAACCATAAACCAAGGCATTGTTGCACTTTAACCACGCCTAACCTAACCTAACAAAACCTAACAAAACCTAACTTAACCTAACCTAACCTAACCTAACTAACCTAACCTAACATCTTGTCCTACTAGAGCCCTGGTTGTACTGGCCGAGTGTATGGTCAACTTGGACTGTCTGAGTGTTGACGTCATGCAGGCTGAGCTAGACAGCAACTATCAGGATCGGAAGAACGGTGGCTATACTTGTGGTAGGTTTACTATTGGCTACACTTGTGGTAGGTTTATCCAATGGCTATATTTGTGGTAGGTTTATCCAATGGCTACCCATGTGGTAGGTTTACACACGCTTACTTCACACATGTAGTAATTTTTATACAGTTGCTCCAACCAGTGCTAGGTTTTTTAGTCCCGTTACAGCTTTTTGTGTAGTCTTACATGCACGTAACACTGGTTATACAAGTGCATCGCCCTCCCATACAGATGCTTATCATAAAACGAGTGCTTTTTATATTATCCAAAGGCTATTTGTAACCTTCTGTAGAAACCACTCAAATCTTTACTTTTAAAGTTTAAATGTAAAAAGTGTACTATAAATTTAGTTAATAAAAATTATAAAATAGTCAAGGAAGTTTCCTAATAAATTTCAAGAAAAATAAATTTCTCCTCAGATTATGTCACAGTTCCAAAGAAAACAATAACTACAACAACTATCCAGGGTAAGCTCTCCTATTCTGTTGTCCAATGCTTCATTCAGATTGCTGATAAGTGTATCGCTGAAGACAACGCAACAATATCTTATTTTAATCTACTTAGATATTATTTTTTTTAAAGTAAAGAACTCTTTGTTTTTATTTTTTTTAAACCGTTTAGTAAACTGATCTCTACATTAGAAGCCCAAACAAGAGAGGAGAATAAGTTTAGACTACAGTTTAAATTAGATAAAGCATTTCATAAAACATTGATAATCTGTACTAGATTACTTGTGTCATAATATTGTGTTGATATGGTTCTGTGTGCCATTAGCGTGTGCTAATTTGACAAATAATTTATGTCTCCCTTACCTCTACAGTTGACAAAACTACAACACCAGCCACTTTAACAACAACAGCCCCATCAAGTTTGTGTAAGTTTTTATGTTTACCATCTCTCATTTAGGTTGTTATTGTTTTAAAAAGTGAACATCACTGGCACTGTGGTGTGATACTCAAGTATCTTGCGGTACTAGAAACTGATTTCATTGACGTTCCGACCTCAGGTCTTCGTCAGATCTAACTTCACAAAATTCACTAATACATCAAAGTAGTCATCCATGTATGAGTCAAGAAGAGCGAAGTTGTAATTTATTGCATGTATATCTTGATGTTTATTGTGCTCGTCTACCTGATCTCCAGCCCACTATTTAAAAGTAAAGCCAAAATTTCTCTTTAGACCTAGCGATCCATGGAGCAGATGAAGTAGAGTTCATATGTTTCTTGACCTTGCATAAGATGGGATAGTGTGATCAGCACTATGCCCAGCCTCCTTTACTTTCCCTAACATAAGCCAGGTATCCATCAGAGTTGGATGGACGCCCTACATTCACAAGTCAGATCCGAGATTCAAACTCGAGACCTTCTGGGTTACAGCCAAACGTTCTACCATGTGACAACGCTGTCCCATAACCCACTTTCCACTGTTCTGTAAATATTTCCAATTTCCCCAGCGTGTAAAGTCGACACAGATACCTGCTCTGTGACGTTCCAGAAAAGTTTTTTTACCCACACGTCAAGTCCTCAGCTTTTATGTGGGTAAGTTTCCATTCTTTGATTGCTACAACTACACTAAATACACACGTTTCTGTCTTATGTGGGTAAGTTTCCATTTTTTTACTGCTACAACTACACTGAATACAATTTAACTGAAAAATATGATGCTGACCACATATGTATAAAAAAACATGACGCAGCGGTTTGATATGTGGTCCAACCACTGTAGTACATACTGCCAGGATTTTGTTTGATAAGTTTTATATATATATATATATATATATATATATATATATATATATATATATATATATATATATATATATATATATATATATATATATATATATATATATATATATATATATATTAAGTTAGACATAAATTTTTTTTAATGTAAAACTTATGACATTACGATGGTGCAAAGCTGGGGATATGATATTAGTTTTGTGTGAAACTGGTGACATGACATCACGATGATGTATGACTGGTGACATGACATCACGATGATGTTTGACTGACTACATGACATCACGATGCTGTATGACTGGTGACATGACATCACGATGATGTAAGGTAAGGGACATGACATCACGATGATGTATGACTGGTGACCTGACATCACGATGATGTAAGACGGGTCACGCGACCTATGCCTATATATGCACAGTGATCTGAGCACGTTTGAAGGATGTCTGAGATCAGCGTCGTGTCTGAGCGACCCCGAGCTGAAGAGTTTGGTGGGGCAGAGGCGGCAACAGGTGTTGGGCGTTGGCGTCAACTGTGGTAGGTTGCTTGTGGTTGTCGTCTGTAGTAGGTTGGTTGTGGTTGTTGTCTGTGGTAGGTTGGTTGTGGTTGTGGTTGTCAACTGTGTTATGTTCGTTGTGGTTGTGGTTGGTTGTGGTTGTCAACTGTGGTAGGTTGATAGTGGTTGTCGACTGTGATAGGTTGGATGTGGTTGTGGTTGGCAACTGTGGTAGGTTGGTTGTGGTTGTGTTCGTGGTAGTCAACTGTGTTAGGTTGATTGTGGTTGTGGTTGTCGACTGTCGTTGGTTGTTGTTTTGGTTGTCAACTGTGGTAGGTAGGTTGTGGTTTTTGGTTGCGGTTGTCAACTTTGGTAGGCTGGTTGTGGCTGTCAAGTGTGGTAGGTTGGTTGTAGTTGTGGTTTTGGTTTTGGTAGGTTGGTTGTGGTTGTCAAGTGTAGTAGGTTGGTTGTGTTGGTTGTGGTTGTCAACTGTGGTAGGTTGGTTGTGGTTGTGGTCGTAGTTTGTTGTGGTTGTCAACTGTGGTAGGTTGGTTGTGGTTGTGGTTGTCGACTGCGGTAGGTCGGTTGTGGTTGTCGACTGTGGTAGGTTGGTTGTGGTTGTCGACTGTGGTAGGTTGGTTGTGGTTGTCTACTGTGGTAGGTTGGCTTTTATTGTGGTTGTCGACTGTGGTAGGTTGGTTGTGGTTGTCGACTGTGGTAGGTTGGTTGTGGTTGTCTACTGTGGTAGGTTGGTTGTGGCTGTGGTTGTCGACTGTGGTAGGTTGGTTGTGGTTGTAGACTGTGGTAGGTTGGTTGTGGTTGTCGACTGTGGTAGGTTGGTCGTGGCTGTGGTTGTAGACTGTGGTAGGTTGGTCGTGGCTGTGGTTGTAGACTGTGGTAGGTTGGTTGTGGCTGTGGTTGTAGACTGTGGTAGGTTGGTTGTGGCTGTGGTTGTCGACTGTGGTAGGTTGGTTGTGGTTGTGGTTGTCAACTGTGGTAGGTTGGTTGTGGCTGTCTACTGTGGTAGGTTGGCTTTTATTGTGGTTGTCGACTGTGGTAGGTTGGTTGTGGTTGTCAAACGACAAAAAACAGTTCTATAAATAGTTTAATGGAAGTAATACGTAAATGTTTATATCAGAAATTTAATCTTAACATTATGTCTACATTACTTTATAGTAAAATGTTTGGGAGTCATCAATAAATTACGACATGTCTTTCAAAATAGCATTTCTTTTTCAAAATATTTACTCAACGCGGTCAACTGTATGCTGATCCATTTTAATTACTTTTACACAGAAATTCTCAGTATATCCGAATAGCATCTAAATTTAGCTACAACAAATGAATATTAAATTAAACGTGTCACGTGACACATTCTGAATCCCCATCACTGTTCTCTGCCATTGCCACAAAAGTCTAACCTCCTCCCTCCCCCCCCTCCCCCCCCCCCCTCCCATACTTGTCTAGAAGAATAAAATAATTTACAGACTGCTCTAAACATTGTATTTGAATCAAACTGACTTACGTTGTAAATATTGTAAAGCTGTTTTCAAATGTTTTTTTTAATTTTTCCTCAGGTGGTGTGCCAATTAGTGCAGCAGGTAATTACAAACATGTATAACATTTAGTATATTAAAAAGCTTTTAGAAACTTTTGTTTGGGATATGCTTTCTATTCCACCATGGTAGCTATTGATAAAATAGTATAAGTATAGTGCAGTCCCTTTATAATAGGTCTAGTACAGTGAAAATGAGTGTTAAAACATTAGGTGCTTGTGTCGATTGTTTCTTGTTATTTTCCTAAAGGTCATGCCATAAATTTAGTGCTATTGTTACTGTCCTACCCAGCATGCCAAATGTTATGGACCTGACTGTTATTGTTTTCATGTTGTCCTACCTAGCATGCCAAATGTTATGGTACTGTTATTGTTTTCATGTTTTCCTACCCAGCATGCCAGCGACTGGAAGAGACCTGTCTAAACAAGTTTATCTTAGAGACGTATCAAGTCGGATACAGCAACGATCTGGTCTGTGGGTGAGAAAAATCGTTCTAATTGTATGCTAATTTATTCAGAATTTTTCACGGTTGAAATTTTATGTTGGTCACGAGCTGCGATTAAATTATTTAAAATGTTGAAGAGAGTGTGAATATTATGAGGTTTTTTTCAGCTGACATCGATCATTTTTGTTGTTACAAGAGCCTTGTTCTCTTGTAATCAACTTCTTTAAACCAGAGCCCTGTTTACATTTAATCACATTGAATCACCAGAGCCCTGTTTACATTTAATCACATTGTATCACCAGAGCCCTGTTCACATTTAATCACATTGTATCACCAGAGCCCTGTTTACATTTAATCACATTGTATCACCAGAGCCCTGTTTACATTTAATCGCATTGTATCACCATAGCCCTGTTTACATTTAATCACATTGTATCACCAGAGCCCTGTTTACATTTAATCACATTGTATCACCAGAGCCCTGTTTACATTTAATCACATTGTATCACCAGAGCCCTGTTTACATTTAATCACATTGTATCACCAGAGCCCTGTTTACATTTAATCACATTGTATCACCAGAGCCCTGTTTACATTTAATCACATTGTATCACCAGAGCCCTGTTTACATTTAATCGCATTGTATCACCAGAGCCCTGTTCACATTTAATCACATTGTATCACCAGAGCCCTGTTTACATTTAATCACATTGTATCACCAGAGCCCTATTCACATTTAATCACATTGTATCATCAGAGCCCTGTTTACATTTAATCACATTGTATCACCAGAGCCCTGTTTACATTTAATCACATTGTATCACCAGAGCCCTGTTTACATTCGCCCAATGTCTAGTGGACATGGACTGTAGATCTGACCAAAACATCACAGCCAGCATTAGAGAGCAGCAGCAGGATCTAGTGACCAGGAATTTCAAATGTGGTCAGTAACGTCCAGCCACACCGTATTTTATGCTCATTTTTTTTATCTTACTGACACTATTGTGTTGTGTCACAATGTTTGTGTAGATAAACATTCACAAATATAATGCTGCGTGCTTTTTCTTTAACACTAATATAGAATATAATTTTTAAGTAGATTGAATTAAACTATGTTTTAATCTCATTATTTAATCAACCTTATGCATATTTTCACCGAAAGGATTTACAAGTTTATAATCCTATAATCCCCTTTTTGCTATCACCAGCTAACTTCTCCCTACCGCCACGTAGTTTAACTTTGGCCCCATCAACAAGTTCAGGTGAGTTCTTTTATACAGCATCTCACTGGAAACTTGATTGTCCTTGTCCTGTTCAAATATTCTACAACATCGCACAACATCGTTCTATAGCATCGTACTACAACATCATTCTACTACATCATTCTACAACATCATTCTACTACATCATTCAACTACATCATTCAACAACATCATTCTAGAACATCGTTCTACAACATCATTCTACAACATCATTCTACTACATCATTCTACTACATCATTCTACTACATCATTCTACTACATCATTCCACAACATCATTCTACTACATCATTCTACTACATCATTCTACTACATCATTCCACAACATCATTCTACAACATCATTCTACTACATCATTTTAGAATATCGTTCTACGTGATTCTACAACATCATTTACAACATCATTCTACAATATCATTCTAAAACATCATTCTAGAATATCATTCTACGTGATTCTACAACATCATTTACAACATCATTCTACAATATAATTCTAAAACATAATTCTAGAATATCATTCTACGTGATTCTACAACATCATTTACAACATCATTCTAGAATATCATTCTACGTAATTCTACAACATCATTCTACAACACTATGGTACATAATTTTGAATTATGATTTAACATCATTTTACTACAATCTTGCACCCTAATACATGTAAAACATGATGTTTTTTTTTATTTATCCCACAGTTGCCACTTCAGTAACGACAACTCCATATTATGGTAAGTTAGTGTGTTTTTATATACTTGTGTGTCTGTGTATGTGCGTGTGTGTATGTGTGTGTGTGTGTGTTTCTAAATATTGTTCACCATCGGTCTATAACATTATTCTCTACCATGAATGTAAGACATGATTGTACCACATCATTGTACCACACCATTGTACCACATCATTGTGCCACATCATTGTACCACATAATTGTGCCACATCATTGTACCACATCATTGTACCACATCATTGTGCCACAGCATTGTAGCACACATTGTAACACATCATTGTACTTTACATAATTGTACCCCATCGTTGTACCACATCATTGTACCACATCATTGTACCGCATCATTGTACCACATCATTGTACCACATCATTGTATCATTGGAATTTTTGTTTTACTCAACAGTCAATACTGCACTACCAAATGACGGTAAGCTATTGTATGGGTGTAAGCGTGTCTGAGTATGTGCGTGTGTTGTGTGTCGCTCACTTCCTTTTTCGTCAAACCTCCGTCCTTGTGTCACCTCTCTGTCATGGTGTCACCACTCTACCATGGTGTCACCACTCTGTCATTGTGTCACCCGTCTGTCTTTGTGTCACCTATTTAGGATCTGTTCTGGTATTTAATTAATTTACCACACTCACCTGCTTTTTAATATGAAAAATTCTCACAATATACGTTGTCCTGTATGTTTGGAGACATTTGCAACACAACTCCTATTATATCATTTCAAAATTTTCTCATTTTCGGTTTACAATTCTAAGTGTATTAAATACAACAAATTATCAATTAAGAGTTTACCAATGGTAACAACTTTCCAATTGAGAGTTCACCAATAGTATCAACGTTCCAATTGAGAGTTCACCAATCATATAAAATGATCAAATGAGAGTTCACCAATGGTATCAACTTTCCAATTGAGAGTTCACCAATGGTAACAACTTTCCAATTGAGAGTTCACCAATGGTACCAACTTTCCAATTAAGAGTTCACCAATGGTAACAACTTTCCAATTGAGAGTTCACCAATGGTACCAACTTTCCAATTGAGAGTTCACCAATGGTAACAACTTTCCAATTGAGAGTTCACCAATGGTACCAACTTTCCAATTGAGAGTTCACCAATTGTATCAACTTTCCAATTGAGAGTTCACCAATTGTATCAACTTTCCAATTGAGAGTTCACCAATGGTAACAACTTTCCAATTGAGAGTTCACCAATGGTACCAACTTTCCAATTGAGAGTTCACCAATGGTAACAACTTTCCAATTGAGAGTTCACCAATGGTAACAACTTTCCAATTGAGAGTTCACCAATCATATAAAATGATCATTTGAGAGCTGACCAATGGTATCAACTTTCAGATTGTACAAGAAGTATTTCAGCATGTCTATCCAATTATTCCAACGGCGTCTTGCTACACGACAACAACAACAGCCTCATCTGTAGGTGAGATCAACATTCGTGTTTGTCACAAGTCTGTTCAATTACTTTCATTTGTCACAAGTCTGTTCAACTTTCATTTATCAGAAGTCTGTCCAATTACTTTCATTTATCACAAGTCTGTTCAATTACTTTCATTTATCATTTCAACATTTAGCACACGAATGTTTATTTGATTATCTTATTATTGAAGCTGATAGTCAAGTTAAGACAAAAATACTGTTATACGCTGAAAGTGTGAACTTTGTTGAAAAGTCTGTTTTCCTTTTTCTTATGTCTTACATGTATCGGTCATATGGTCACATGACCTCTAAAACTCTATAAATAAATTAAACTACAGATTGAACTGGTGCGGACGCCAACTCAAAATATTGAGTTTTAAAAAACTGACTTTTTTTTCACTCTCTTGTATTCCCGCATTAGAATCCGAGTATAAAGGTTACATCGACATGTATATTTTTTTTTAACTTTTACATGTATGACCCTAACCCTTTATTCTGGACATAACCCTAACGTTGTAATTAAACATTAGTATCAATTATTTTTACAGACTTTAGTTAAAGTGAAATCTTATAAACCTGTTTTTAACTTTCTCTACTGTAGCTGTTTCTTACAGATTCAGTATGCGATGGCTTCTAAGACAACGCAATCATATTTTAGTTTCAATTTCAAGACATAATTTATTCAATTAGCTATAAAAAAATAATTTAAATGTATTACTATTGACAATAACAGAAGGATTAGTACAAAGTCCATTTTGATGATTCGAAACAGTTGATGCTAAAAATAAAACACTCTACTGCCGCATGATTTCTTAGTAACTAGATCTACTAGAGTTTGTAAGCAACCATTGGAGTGGGGCGGGTGTCGATTTAATTAACAACGATAGAATTTTAAATTTCAGTGCCGACTTTTTTGTTGAAATTAGGTTGGATTTTTTTTTCAAAATGCAGTGTATAGTTATATACATTATGTCTTATTGACTGTTCTCACTTAATCAAAAAAAATGCACAAAACATTCAGCTTAACATCTTCAGCTATATATCGTCAGTTAATAATATTTGTACTTGTTGTTTGGAGAGCTTGGCATAAAGATTTCTATCAAAAAATGCATTTCATTATTATTTTATATTACTTAAAATGAATGCAGACATTCCTTTTATTCTTGAATTTGTAGAGATCTGACGTCTTTGAGAACCTGTCTGAGTGCGGTGAACTCATCTTGTATAAACACAACACGCATTGAACTGTTGGTTGATCAGAGCCAGCTGAGTCTAGAGATGAAGGGATTCACGTGTGGGGGTGAGTGAGGTGGGCTCACATGTGTGGGGTGAGTGAGGTGGGGTGACATGTGGGTGGGGGGGGGGGGGGGGGGGGTAAGTCAGGTGGGCTGACGTGTGGGGGTGGGTCAGGTGGGCTGACATGTGTGGGGGCAAGTGAGGTGGGCTGACATGTGTGTGGGTAAGTCAGGTGGGCTGACATGTGTGGGGGTAAGTCAGGTGGGCTGACATGTGTGGGCGGTACTTATACTCTGTAATATGTACAATATATATATATATATATATATATATATATATATATATATATATATATATATATATATATATATATATATATATATATATATTTATTTATTTATTTATTTATTTATTTATTTACTGATTTATATTATATATTTATTTGCTTATGTATTTACTTATTTATATATGAATCTATCATTCAACAGAATCGAAAAGGTCTACAACTCCAGCTGCACCAGTCAATATTCAAAACCGTAAGCAAAACAGAGTTATAGCCCATCATTAACAACTTTTCTTATCTCGCGATTTCCATTTACGTGTATTCTATTTTTAAAACATCACCAGAAAAATTATTTCATGTACTCAACTTTGAGGGACAATTGCTCGTATGCAAATTAAATCACTACATTATTCAAAAACAATATTAGCTGTCTATTAAATACTCCAAACTTTGTATGACTAGCCACTGTTCATTGTAAGTGTGAGTGATTTTATACAGGTTGAAACTGAAAGTAATGCTACTAAAAACTAAACCTTGAAAAGTAATTGTACTAAAAAGTAAAAATAAAATCGGTAACAAAATGCAATCAGCCCTACAAGAGGTAGGTAGTCAACGGTGCAGATGAAGCAGAGTTTACCTGTTACTGTTGTAGTCAACGGTGCAGGTGAAGCAGAGTTTACCTGATGATACGAGATGTAGTTGTTGGAATAAACTAAAAATTAGCCAACACTCCCTTTAAGTAGTCAACATTGCAGATGAAGCAGAGTTTATCAGGTACTGTTGTAGCCAACGGTGCAGATGAAGCAGAGTTTATCAGGTACTGTTGTAACAGATGTTGTAATAAGACTGCCACTTGTTCCTCAGCCTGCAAGACAGGTGTTCAAACATGCTTCAACAGATTCCAGACTGCCCTTATAAACCTGAACAGCGTGTCTCTCATTTGCGAGTAAGTTGTCAAATTATTTACAACGACTGACATCACATTGTTACTAAGCAAAAGACGAATCTAAATATAATCACAGCCTGGTTTCATAAATATATATGAATGTATCTGTGTATATATATATATATATATATATATATATATATATATATATATATATATATATATATATGAATGTATCTTGCACCTTATGTTCCAGCTACACCAACGTATATCTCCAGTGTATATTCAACCTGAATGGGTGTGGCTACAGCACCACCTACAGAGCCGCCATCATCGATCAGACACGTGATCAGCTCAAGGCCAGTAACATCAATTGCCGTACGAGTCAATTTTTATTTTATTTTTAGTATGTCTCTACACTCTAGATACGCCACTGTCTGTCTCTCAACACTAGATACGCCACTGTATGTCTCTACACTCTAGATACGCCACTGTCTGTCTCTCAACACTAGATACGCCACTGTATGTCTCTACACTCTAGATACGCCACTGTATGTCTCTACACTCTAGATACGCCACTGTATGTCTCTACAGTCTAGATACGCCACTGTATGTCTCTCAACACTAGATACGCCACTGTATGTATACATTCTAGATACGCCACTGTATGTCTCTACACTCTAGATACGCCACTGTGTGTCTCTACACTATAGATACGCCACTGTCTGTCTCTCAACACTAGATACGCCACTGTATGTCTCTACACTCTAGATACGCCACTATATGTCTCTACACTCTAGATACGCCACTGTATGTTTACACTCTAGATACGCCACTGTATGTCTCTACACTCTAGATACGCCACTGTATGTCTCTACAGTCTAGATACGCCACTGTATGTCTCTACAGTCTAGATACGCCACTGTATGTCTCTACACTCTAGATACGCTAAAGAAGACTTGTTATTCAGACATTTCTTCATTATGAAGTAGGCCTAGATCCTAGCTAGTAACAAAATGCCCAATATCAATAGGTAAAAATTTGACAACAGCAGCTAGAACTTGTAGAAGGGCTTAATTTAACTGTGATGACTGAGTTTGTGAAAAAAATTATGGGAATGGAAAATGTGTTCTTGTGTGAAGCCAAATTGTATATTTTAACATTTAGCATTTAGTTTCAATATTTTAAAAATTAGACAATCTCACTGAAATGTAATTATTTTATTTACGTTTTTTCCCCCAGCTTTCCTTTCACAAGATAGTGGAGCTAAGAGTGAGTTTTTTCTTGTTGCATGAATACATTTGCTTCAAATCAATATGAGATTTTTTTTTTCTTCCTCTCTCGTTTTATACATTTTTTTTATTTATTTTTTTTTTGTTAAGAATGATGCATAACAATTTTTTTAAAAACGTAAATAAGGCTTCATCAGTGGCGTAGCCAGGATCGTCTCAAGGGGGGGGGGGGGGGGGGGGGTTCCAATTTTTACCCGGGGACAAACTTTCGATTTGCACCCCCCCCCCCTCAAATTTTCGATTTGCACACCCCCTCCTCCAATTTTTTATTTGCATCCCCCCTCAAACTTTCAATTTGCACCCCCCCCCCTCAAACTTTCGATTTGCACCCCCCCCCCCTCAAACTTTCGATTTGCACCCCCCTCATACTTTATATATATATATATATATATATATATATATATATATATATATATATATATATATATATATACCGAGGGGTCTATGGGGGGTTATGACCCCCCCCCTGCCTACGCCACTGGGCTTCATGATGGTTTAAAAATGAAGATGTAGAAAGTAATATTCCCCAATACTAAGTTTAACTGATTCCCAAAATGTATGTTTTAAAATATATTTTTGATGCATGATACTCTAGCCACTGTCAAAAATTGTTTCATAATTTTGCAGATGTTTATTACAACAGCCAGCAATCAAGCCTGATGTGTAGCCGGTCTAATTTAATGATTATTGCCTTTGGAGTTCTCATAAAATTAATCTCAATCTTGTGATCAACACCTAATTATTTCTTTGCTGCTTTTGGTCTTTCTCGTTAAAATTATTTAAAATTTTGTGATAGCAAAAAATATTGTTTACATTAAAAATGTTTGGTTGATTTTTTGTCTCTTTCGTTGAATAACTTTTTTTAATGAAAATTTTTAAAACAACTTAGGCTACAGATTTTGACAACCCTGCCTATGGCTACACTTAAGTATGAAACAGAAACTCATTAAATAATTCCAAATTTTAAAAACAAATATTTTTTCTGCCATGTGGCAGTTGAAGTAGAGTTCATCTGACATCGACACATGAATGTATAGTGCGATCCACATTATGTCCAGCCGCCTTTACTTTCCCCATAATCAAGCCAGGTACCCACTAAAGCTGGGTGGACTCTGTGATGTCTTAGAGACTGAACTCGAGACTTTCGGGTTGGTAACCGTGCGCTCGGTATCTCGACCACACTGCCCCAAACAACAACATGCGGACTCTATTTGGGTTACATAAGATACGATAACAACAACCAACAACATACGGACTCTATTTGGTTACATAAGAAACGATAACAACAACATACGGACTCTATTTGGTTACATAAGAAACGATAACAACAACATACGGACTCTATTTGGTTACATAAGATACGATAACAACAACATACGGACTCTATTTGGTTACATAAGATACGATAACAACAACATACGGACTCTATTTGGTTACATAAGAAACGATAACAACAACATACGGACTCTATTTGGTTACATAAGATACGATAACAACAACATACGGACTCTATTTGGTTACATAAGATACGATAACAACAACATACGGACTCTATTTGGGTTACATAAGATACGATAACAGCATTCTTAAAACATTGTATGCGTGTTTTAATTATTATGCACATGTCAAGACTAATCTCACATTTTCATCATCGCTTCTCACAATATGCATAGCAACATTTTATTGGTGAGCAGTGTGAACGCATCATAGATCACATCAAATTATATCGCTTCATAGATCACATCAAATTATATCGCATCGTTGATTCACATAAAATTATATCAAACGACAGATTACTATACGTTTTTCAAATGCAACCAAATGGAGATATGTGTAAAGTTGTATTACTGCTCTGTTGTTTTTTATTCATGTAAAAATGTGTCAATGATATCAATTTACATAACTGCTTTTCATTATGACTAAATTATACGTTACATTAGCTGTTTGTACAAGAATAGTTAGGCACGGGCTACCAATCAATTAATTAATTAATTAATTAAAATATGCAGGCCTACTCGATCTACAACGTGTGTATTCTGCTCTCGCACGCCTCTAGAAACAGAAAGTAAAGGGTAAACTGAACGCAATGTTTACAAACATTCAGCCGTGACGTGGAAATGTGCGCACTACGTCACCAGCGCCTCGCTTTGAACGAGAGCTTCGCCGTGCCGCGACAAACAGCTGCCACACATGGCGTCTGGGTCGTGTGAGTTACCGTCTGTTCACTTTGCTTTCACTGAAGTGTGTGTGTGGGGGGGTGTGGGGGGAGGGGGGGGGGGTTAACAAAATTCTAACAGCAGCTTTGGGAAATAATGTTGTTTTTCGCACGGAGGGTCAAAGTGTGAAAATAAAGCATATCAAATTGCGGGCTGGTGGGATTGTAAACTGGAGCTTAGTCAGCTTGTTTTGTGTTTGGTAATGGCAGCTAATGGTGGAAATTAGAAATCTCGTTGGATTGTATAATTATTTTTTTTAAATGGGTGCAGAGTTATTAAAACATATGATCATACAAAACTTTGTTTTGTTTACTTTTTTTTTGTATCACGTTTTTGCACAAATTCAATGTATTTATTGGTTATTAATATTTTATGTAACTAATCTAGATTTGTAGACAAAAGTGTAGACACATTTTTAAAAAAGTTTCCCTCGTTACCGTGTGGTAATATAATGTAAATTTTAACAGTAATCATAGCACCCCTCCCCCCTCCCGCGTTTATCGCTTCCTCCCCACGAACGAAATAGAATTTTATTTTAAAAATATATTCTTCAATCAGTTTTCACGCACCCCGGAAATTTAAGTCCGCCCCACTTCCCCGGAAAAAAATTGTCTCAAAAAAAACACTGCTGATCATAACATAAATCTCCCAAAGGCCCCCCCCCCCTTCCAAGAATGTGACATCATTTATGGACGACCCACCCCCCAGGAATGTGACATCAATTACAGACGACCCGTGACATATAATCCTACAAATGTAACGACTGGTTTACTGTACTGCTGTCCCTTCTAAGACCAGCCGACCGGAAGTGGACACAAGTTATAGGTTATTGCGTCATAATAAACAGTAGCTTCCTACAGTACAAAGATAATTACAAGTAAAAAAATTAGCGTAGAACAATTAGTTTTACCCGTTTACATAAGAGGGTACAAGCTTGCCGTTATGGTGAAAGTATATCAACATCTGTATGTAACTTTAAACCTAACTTACCTCCTCCTTAATCTAAATTATTTTATTTTTTAACGAATTCCTAGATCAATCTTATGAGAGACACTCAAGAGTTATCGCTCATGTTGTGTGGTTCTTTCTAGTGGAATTGTTATAATAATTTATTACAAGTGCCTTTGTAAAATGAAGTAGGCCTATGCTGTAAATCAGAGTTTCTTTCAGGCATCTATTCGGGGGGGGGGGGGGGGGGGGGCTCCGAACGAAATGAAATTTTTAAAGAAAATATATACTTTTCACAGTGACCGCTTCCCCCCCCCCCCCAAAGAGAGTCTAACCCCCCCCCCCCCCCCCCCGGGAGAAAAAAGTCTGGTAGAAACACTGCTGTAAATTTGATTAGAAATGAAACGGAGGAGTATTTGTTAAGGTGGGGGTGGGGGGGGAAGGTCTAACCCACCCTATCATCCCCACCTTATTATTCACGCACCCGGCGCATGTGGGGGTGGGGAGGGGGTAGTCACTGAAGCAACCATTACAACATAGCTAATGTAAAAAAAAAAAATTATATACAACCCTGCACCGTGCATCGCATTGCCCGTGACCTCGGCCAGAATTTTTAAAAAGTAGGCCGCAGTCGTGTGCGCGGGGTTAAAGACGAATAATACATTTATCTGACATTGAGAACTCCAAGTGTGCTGTCTGCTACGTCACCACTGCACGCTCGTGTCGGGGGGCCTACGTCACAGCTGCACATTCGCCAGATAACGAGATGAACACAGTTGTCTATGCGACCTTCTAGCCGGGGCTAAGCTTTTATTTTCTTTGGATAATACATTTTTAAAAACATAAAAAGTTGGATTTGCCGAAAGAGAAGAATTACTAACGAAAGTAGGGCGTGCGAGGTAATTTTGTGTTACGTTACATATATAGTATAGAGTCTATTAATATATAACATTATTAGTATTACATACGTAAATTAGATCTATCTGTTATTAAAAATTACCGTTACATCGTATTTACTTATATTGTATACACACGCATACAGTGAATTATATTAGTATTAGACTAGATTAAAGCAAACAAAGATTCTAAAACTAGATAACAAAAACTCTTTATACTACAGTGTTACTACACACTGTGTTTGTTATTTAAAAAATTGAAGAGACTAGATATAGATCTAGTAGTAGTTGTCTAGATCTAGTAGTGACTAGATTAGAATAGATTTTAGATAACGGCAAGATATGTAACAGAAGGAGAATCTAGCATGAAGATAATATGTAAGTAAGGCAGATAACTGCTGCATACGATAAGAACCCACTGCAGATATTTCAGCGTAAAGAAATCAGTGAATGTTTAAAGCAGAGTTGATTGGGTGATATTTTTCCCCTTATGCTCCGTGCTTTATGATTTTGTCGAACGAAACATGTGTGATCTGCTCTTGTTTAGTGTCATTCAGCGGCAATCCACGTCAGTTGGAGTCAGTTACTGCCCTTTACGTACTGTGTGGGAAGTTAGCGGCTAAAAATAAATTGTAGGTCTAGATGCGATGTTGAAATATATGCTGTGATAAACTATAGATATACAGTGTATAGAAGATTCTTAATTCGGATGGGTTTTTTTTTATTTCAACTTAAAAACAAAGTAAGTCTAGATGTGATGTTGAAATATAAACTGCAAAAGACAATAGATCTACATAGAATTTAGATATAGATCTAGAGTCTATAGACGAGTCTAGATTATGATGTTTTTTTTTTTAATTTTAATTTAAATTTAGATTTTCTTATTAATAAATGTGTTCTTAAACTACACTACCCACATATTTAAGTGAAATAGTGTGAAAATAAAGTTACATGTGTAATTAGTTGCAACTGTTAAAATTCGTGTCTACATCGTGTTTTGAAATAGGAATTAATTTTAGCTATTTTGTGGTGCAGCATTTTTCCCCAGGAAATTGTGCATTATGCAGCTTGGTGTGTTTAATATTGTGTGGGGAAGGCTGGGTTTGTGGTCAACTTGAAACAACAGAAACATTGGCTGACATTAGGTGGACCTACAGCTGTTGGTGTCGTCCCTCGTAGGTCAGGGCGGGGGAGGGTGGGTGTTATCTAAAACTCGACTTGTAGGTCACACCACACTGAATAGGCTACACATGTGTTCAAGTCGTTAAAATGTGTGGGGATTTTGCGTTCTGTTCCCCGTAAGCTCGCAATTTTTTTTTTAAATGTCAGTATTCGGTCTCAACAATCACATGTAATGCTATAACGCTGCTATACTAAGTATAGTATGCATATATTTGCATGTATTAAGATATTTTCTTTTTTTTCTTTTAATGCGTCAACATTCTTGTTGTTCTTCAATGATGTGGATCTGTCAGATATTTTGTTAGTTATTTTTTTTTTAATTTATTTATTATTTATTGGTATGCGGTAAAAAAAAAGTTGAATTGTTTTTCCTTAAAATACTATTTATTTCTTCATTACTTTTTGAGCTAAATGAGGTTCATTGGTCAAATGTAATCTCTATAATGCAAAACATTACCTTTTATAATGTCAAAGTGTGCCTTTTCCCACACCCCTTCTAATCGTCACTCCTTGTCACACCCCCCCCCCCCACTCCTCATCTTTCTAGAGTGACGCTATTTATAGACTGCCCCCATTGGTTAGTAACATTGTTTCTTACTTTAGGCAAATGTACTAAAAAAATATTTTATTACTTGCGACTATTGGCAGCCCCGAGTAGCGTTGTTGTTAAGTTTTATGGAGGCCAATAATAATGTAGTGGGAATTTTAAGGTTGTTCAAAGGCCCGATGCGATATATATCTGTATATATATATATATATATATATATATATATATATATATATATATATATATATATATATATGTTTGTGTGTGTGTATATATATGCCTTACATCTATACCAGGCATACAAACAGCCTTTGTATGACATAAAAATCCCTGATAATTTCCATTCTTGGGTACCGTATAATTATAATTGCCAATTGTAAAAAGGGGGAACCCTTATAATTCTCATCCAGGGCCCCTGGATAATTGTCATATAGGAACCCATTTAGTAATTTGTTATCACCCCGGGCCCCACTGAATCGTGAGGTTTCAAGTTAGGAATTTAGAGTACAGTTTAACAATGTCGTTAAAAATGTTTATCATCAGTTGATTCACCACTAACCTTCATCAATTTCGTATCTTCTTTGTAGAAATTAACCCTAGTCTAACCCAATACCAAACTTAACCCCATTATATCGTACGCTGAGTCCCATGTTTTCGTTCTCAGTGTTTTTCCGGTCATTTTCCGGATGAGAGGGGGCAGGGGGGAGCGGACACTGGAAGTATGTATTCTGTATATGCTATTTTGTATATGGATGCTATATACTTTGGAGTGGGGGGGGGGATGATACCCCCCAACCTCGCCGCCTCCAAGTTTTGCATGAAAGATACTGTTCCTCCTAATTTTGCTGAGAAGTCATGTGGAAACTTTTTTTTTCGTTTCAGATTATTTCAATCACGATAATAAGATGTTGACATGCACTATGTGTTGGTCAAGCTGACCCAGCTGTGTTGGTCAAGCTAACAGACCTGTGAAGTGGTCAAGCCTAAAGGACCTGTATGTTGGTTCAGCTAATTGACCTAGCTGTTACATCTAGCCATCTGATCTGTGAATTGGTCAAGCTAACTGACCTAGCTGTTACCTCCAGCCAACTGACCTGTGTGTTGGTCAAGCCAACTGACCTATCTACCCAATGGAGCTGCACTGACCAGACCTAGGATGGTGTCGGTCTATGAGAACCAGACTCAGCCCGGCCCCAGACATGACCAGATCAGGAGCCCCGAGGACGAGGGGGAGGGGGAGGAGAGGACCATCACCATCTGCATCAGCCTCTCCGTCGTGGCCGTCATCTTCTGCGTCTGCGCCATCATGTGCTACCGCGAGGTCAGCAGACGACGCAAGGAGATGCTTATCTTTGAAGAGCACCTCAGAAGGGAGGTAATCAAACGATCGATCCAGATGAAGCTAAAGCAGGTGAGTGTTATCAGGCGGAGGTTGCCTCCCCTTGACGTGTTGTCTGTATTTTTAATAGTTTATCAGTTTCCTCCCTTCCCCCCTTGTCTTTGAATACCAGACTTAAATTTCCTCTGGTGAGCACACTCTTTCACCCCCCCCCCCCTCCCCTATTCGTCCTTGGTTTAAATCTTCCTGTCCTCATGCTAAAAATATATTCACCTTTCAGTTCCAAATAGTTAAGTATGATAACAGCGGTGTCTATTGTTTTTCCAAATTAATAGACTTCAAAGTTTTTATACAGTAATTTTCGACTGGTTTCTGGAAAAAAAAAATTGAACATTCTCGCGGCGTAGGTCTGCTTTTGTGTACTCGTGAATTGTTGTAGCCTACCTGCAAGTGTAGAGGGGACAAACTGCAAGTGTAAAGGGGACAACCTGCAAGTTTAGGGGGGAGGGGGCAACCTGCAAGTTTAGGGGGGAGGGGGCAACCTGCAAGTTTAGGGGGAGGGGACAACCTGCAAGTTTGGGGGGAGGGGCAACCTGCAAGTTTAGGGGTGGGGGAGGGGACAACCTGCAACTGTAGGGGGGGGACAACCTGCAACTGTAGGGAGGACAACCTGCTTCCCTGCAGCCCATACTGCTCTTGTGATTGATGCGTGCGCCCTCTCTAACACATCAGGTGTATGACCTTGTTATCACGAGGTGATGACATTTGCATAAAACGTTGTTTTCACGAGTACTACTGCAGTCTAAAGTATCACAAACTTAACATAGACATCTGTGTGCTATTTAAATTATTATAAATACGTAGTAGAAATAATTCATAAAACGACTCTTGACTTAATAAAAAAAAACTTGTGCCCGTCAGATCATGTGAGAACCAAAGCCAATAAAACATAGGTGGCGCTGTTAAAATGCCAATGTAACATTTTTCTTCGAGCTAGAATTGTGGGTTGTTTTTTTTTCAAAACAACCAGCTGCTTGATTAAAAAACCTCACGGTATTGTTTGTAATCCCTCTAATGTTTGTAATCCATGATCTATTGTAGTAATCCTTGCTCTAATGTTTGAAATGCCTGCTCTATTATTTTTTATCCCTGCTGTGTTGTTTGTAATAACTACTCTATTGTTTCATTCCTTCTCTTTGTAATTCCTGCTCTAATGTTTGTAATCCCTGCTCTATTATTTGTAATGCCTACTCTATTGTTGTAATTCCTGCTCTAATGTTTGTAATCCCTGCTCTATTATTTGTAATGCCTACTCTATTGTTGTAATTCCTGCTCTAATGTTTGTAATCCCTGCTCTATTATTTGTAATGCCTACTCTATTGTTGTAATTCCTGCTCTAATGTTTGTAATCCCTGCTCTATTATTTGTAATGCCTACTCTATTGTTGTAATTCCTGCTCTAATGTTTGTAATCCCTGCTCTATTGTTTGGGCCTACTGCCAACAGGTAGTGTCATAAACGCTACCAGCGGCAGTAACTCTTGTCTTACCTGTGGCAGACGACAAGTACTCTCGCCTAGACATGTTATCGACTGTCTATGGCGTACGCGAGGGTGTGTTGGGTTACGGGGGAGGGGGGGGGGGTGGGGTGAGGAGGTGTTGGGGGTGTAAATTATAATTGCTCAGTTTCGAATGTCATAAAACCCACAGTTTTACGTTCTTAAAATATGTAGGGCTTATATAAATAAGCATATATATATATATATATATATATATATATATATATATATATATATATATATATATATATATATATATATATATCCCACCCCTCATGACAAAATCCTGACTACGCCACTGTTGACTGCTATTCTTCTTTCGCTGTCTCGCTCTCTAGTGGCAAAACAACGGCGCCACATCACGTCCTGCTGAGGCAAGGATTAACTCCCATCAGACGAACATTGCAGGTTTTTTTTATAGCTCTCAATGATCACAATAAATGGCTTTTAAATATAGGGGGCATACTGTGAGCATACAAAATGTACTCAAAGATGTTGTAAAGCTTACTTAAAGCTTAATCACATCATGATAATAAAATTGTAGAATAGCAAATTAAGTAAAAGAGTTTGTATGAAGCTAATTGTGTGTAAATAGAGCTACCAAAACGGTGTGGACAGCTTGACTTGATCAGCACGGTACAAGTGTGCTAGAGAGCTTATATTGAGCTAAAATGAGCTGCCGACACGAGACGTGAATTAATGCGGAGCAGCTGGGCTGTACGTGTCACAGCTGTGGAATAGGGAGAAGACTGACACAACGTCACGGAACACACCAGTATCGACGTCACAGAACACACGACTATTGACGTCACAGAACACACGACTAGCGACGTCACGGAGCACACGACTATTGACGTCACGGAACACACGACTAGCGACGTCACGTAGCACACCAGTATCGACGTCATGGAGCATGCGATTATCTACGTCACAGAACACACGACTATTGACGTCATGGAGCACACCAGTATTGATATATGAAATAGCCTTTAATTACCTTGATGAATTAATTTTTTATTTAAGTGGCCCCAGCATGTGGAGCGATTTGGTGAAATCACAATTCTTCTTATTCAAACGTGACCATTGGAGATTTTCACCCTTAGTCCATGCGCCCCACACAGTGAGTTGTTCACCCATAGCCATGGCACCCCACACACAGAGAGTTGATCCCCCTTAGTCCATGCGCCCCACACAGTGAGTTGTTCACCCATAGCCAAGGCACCCCACACAGAGAGAGTTGATCCCCCTTAGTCCATGCGCCCCACACGGTGAGTTGTTCACCCATAGCCATGGCACCCCACACACAGAGAGTTGATCCCCCTTAGTCCATGCGCCCCACACAGTGAGTTGTTCACCCATAGCCAAGGCACCCCACACAGAGAGAGTTGATCCCCCTTAGTCCATGCGCCCCACACGGTGAGTTGTTCACCCATAGCCATGGCACCCCACACAGAGAGAGTTGATCCCCCTTAGTCCATGCGCCCCACACGGTGAGTTGTTCACCCATAGCCATGGCACCCCACCCCACACAGAGAGAGTTGATCCCCTTTAGTCCATGCGCCCCACCCCTAGACGGACGTCAAAATGTATATGCCCCACACCGTAACGTCTCACACCAGACCTCTCTCTTAACTTACACGTCGAACGGTTTCCTTCCTTATCTGTTTTGTGTTGTTTTTTTTTGTTTTTTTTTGTCAGGAACTTATAAGAGCTGGATGGGCTCATGATTGTTGTAATACTTTTATCCTTTGTTGTTTTCATTTTTGTTTATTTTAGCTTATATTGTGTCAACTGTGTTTTGTCTCTGTATTTTGATCCGTTATATCCCAATGTTCTGAGTTGTATCATTAGTTTGCTTCTTCCGTTTATTACTTCATCATTTTAAATCTCTAACTTGTTTCGTTTACGTGATGATACTTATGTTTTATTCCCGTCTCACTTTTTATTTTACCACTTTCAGCTACAGCAGGCTGAAGACTCTGGATCCTACCGCGCCAAAATGGAGGAAAAAGTCCCCGTTGTCACCTTCAGCGACGTAGTCCAAATCAATCCGGCTCTAACTCCGGCGCATTCAGAAGAGGATCTCTTAGAGAAGCCGGCCCACATCCCGGCCCGCCGGAACTACAGCCCGCCGGCCCCCCGAGCCCACCACTACCGCCAGCAGCGTGTGGTCCACCCCTACCAGAGCTACTACAACAACATCGTCAAGCTCCAGCCGCCAGCCCGCGCCAAACCCAACTCGCGGCGGGCGCAGAACGGGTCTCCACACAAGCCCATGCTCCCCCAGGGCTCGCCTTCTATAAACAACCACCAGCACACTAAGCAGACGAGCAACGGGAGCAGCAGACAGTACCTCCGTGATGACATCTCTCAGCACCCCCTGGGGATGCCCCTCAAGGAGCCTTCCACTCGTTCCTTGTACACCTATTTCAGACGTGTTTTTTCCCGCCAAGAATGTCCCAGCAGTGTTCCTGAGCTGACAAAAACCACGACCATTGAGCTTCATTAAATAGCTCGGAACTAATCTATTTATGTTTGGGATTCTTCTTCTGGATGACCTAATATTGTGGACTATGCTGGAATAATTTATCGATTTCATGTGCTTTTGATTTTCTTTACGATCTGGTTTCACGGCGAGAGAAATTGTGTTGTTTATTTCAAAATTGGAATTATTCACGGAGTTTTTGTTTGCATTGTAATTTGACAAGTTCTTTGAAATATTCGTCAGAATATTCTGAATTTACAAACGGTTATATCGGCAGTGACTATAAAATAAAACAGCTTAGATAAAAAAAAAACCTTAATCTAATTTCAAAAGACCAATATGGTTCGCTCAGGAGGGTAGTATATATATATATATATATATATATATATATATATATATATATATATATATATATATATATATATATATATATATATATATATATATAAGCTCATGATAATATTTCTATAATTCAGCTGCTGCTGTGGTGTTTCCACTTCATCTGTCGGTGCTCTGAACTAAGATGTTTCTGGGTTTTATGTTGCTTTTCTTGATGCGAATTGTTTTAACTAGACTGAAGTATGGCAGTTGGGTGGGTAAGTGGCTGTTGTAGCTGTTGGATGGGGGAGTGGCTGTTGTAGCTGTTGGATGGGGGGAGTGGCTGTTTTAGCTGTTGTTTGAGTAACTGACCTACTTGAACCACAGAGTTAATGGCAATTTGTTTTCGTTTGCTTACCAAAGAGATGCATTTATTTACATTGATGTATTGCAGATAGGGCTGCTACATGTATTAATGGGCTAAAATGTCCTATGTTCAAATGAAAGTATCATTAAGCCCCCTGTTAAGTTATATGTATTATTTTTTATAAAAGTATTGTGGCAAGATAATATATTTTGGTTATTCGAGTTGTTCACATGCTGGAGTAGATGACCTGTGGTGTGTTATCAATGGTGCAGCTACCATTTGTGATGGTGCAGCTACCATTTGTGATGGTGCAACCACCGTTCGTGATCGCGCATGCATGTGTGTATCTCAATGGCAAGCTGCTTAGCGAAATAAATATGTATCATAAAATGTTAACTTTAATTTTTAAAACTTTTTTTTTTCTTCGTATAAACATACCAGTTGCTGCAATTGTTTTTAAAATGAAAATTGAACGTGTAGTTTTAAGTCTAAACAACCACAGCCAGTTATATAGTGGAATAAAGTTCTACAGCGGATTGTAAAACAGCAAAGTCTATTATATCTACAGACGTTTTCATTCATTGAAATGTCTTTGCTCATCCAAAGTGACAAACCGGGACAAAGGCAACTATACACAAAACAAGCTACTCGTTGTCATACCAGCATAACTTTCAATAACCTGCTGATCATTGTTGCTTCGGATGCCGGCACAACTCTCAGGAATGTTTCTTATTCCTAAAGTATCTGACCCGACTTTAATACGAGTTGACCGGAAATGACATTTTGTCCGCTGACAAAATGCGGCACGGATCTTTTTAAATTTGTCTATAACATTTAAAAGTACAAATGTGTAATTTCTGTAAAAACTGTGTTATAATCTTGTTTTGTATAAAACTGATCTTAATATGTTACGACTGATACACTTATCCCAACCATATTGAATTATTTTGGTTGTGCCTTTTGCGAAAGATATTTTAGATAGCCTACGTATTTCTATCTGAATATAAACCACGTGGTACAACAAACTAAATTATAATTGTAACTATAGTTAATGACGTGTGTTGTACATTAACAATGTTGTTACAAGCACCATGCGACTTGTTCAAAGCTGTTACTGTTAACTGTTTAAAATAAAGTTACAATAATATTAATATTCGGTCTTACCATATAAGCTTATCCTTACCCAAAGATGGTTCTTCTACCTCACCCCCCCCCCCCCCCTCCCATTCTCACCCTCCCACACAAATAATTCATTTTTAATTTCATGCTAAATGACAAGAGTTTCTAATACGTTTTTACTAGTGTAACGTTTAGAGTTAATTAATATCCCTCAGTAAGGAGTTATACCTTAACTCCCACACCCACACACACACTTGTAAAAACACCACACACCAACCTTAGCTTTAAATCGTACATTCCTTGCCTTATGTTCACTGCCTATGTGTGTGGCCATACATTAAGCCATATTGCTGCAGTCCGCTTTGATCATTTCCATGAACAATATAGATGATATTGTACTCGATTGTTTACGTAACCTTCGCTCAACATTCTGTTAACTACGTCATCATCACCTAGACCACCGACTTTCTTTTAATCACAGTGCCGGATAAATTAACCTCATTCTGGTTCCTTTGTCTTTCTTCTAATTTTCAAAAAAGTATTTTCATTTCTTTTAGAATTTATTATCTGCCAACACAATTTGTTTTGCGGTAATAAATTGTACTTTTACAATGGCTGTTGTTATCTTTAAAACATTGTTGGATTGCACTTTTTATTTTTGTTACTAGAGTCTATCCTTCCAGTGCATTGCATGCATAATTTTAGTTTAGTTTCGTATCTCTTTGGTTGCTTTCTTTTAATGAGAATATTGTTAAGTTTGGTTTTATATAAGTTTGGTTTTCATTTTAAGTAAAACAGTATTTTCAGAAGTAAAAAACGATTGTAAATTAAGTATAAATAAACTTTTTTTAAAAGCTTCCTAAGACCAAAGATAATATTCTTGCACTGTGATTACTAGATTTTTAAGTCGTAGTTGTTTCCCCTGTTTGTTTTACTACACGTTGACGTCACCATCAGATGACCTACTAAACAGTGCATCAAGACAACACATACGAATGTGTAGCAGCTATACCTATAGTATTCACTCTTTAACTTTGATTAAATTATTCCCTTTGTTTGTTGCTTATTTTTCAGATGAAAATGTTACCGCTCAAAAAGAAAATAAAGTGTGTCGGTGCCCTGTCAAAACGGCCCGGGACAAATCGGCCCCGTCAAAACGGCCCCGTTAATACGACCCCGTCAAATCGACTCCCGACAAACCGACCCCGTCAAAATAGCCCCGTCAAAAGGGCCCCGACTTATTGGCTCCCGTCAAATGGGCTCCCGTCGTATTGACTTGCGACATATAGGCTCCCGACAAATGGACTCCCGATATTTAGGCTCCCGACAAATGGACTCCCGACATATTAACCCCTGACAAATAGGCTCAGGACATATTGGCTCCCGACAAAGCGGCTCCCGACATATTGGCTCCCGACATAAGGGCTCAAGACAAATGGGCTCCCGGCAAATGGGCTCACGACATTTTGGCTACCGACAAATGGGCTCCCGACATATTGGCTCCCGGCAATTGGGCTCCCGACATATTGGCTTTTGACAAAATGACTCCCGACATATTGGCTCCAGAAAAATGAATGATATGACCACTATTGGCATAAAAGTAACCATTGTGTCCTACCTCCAATACCACCATAACCTCTTTTTAATGCCCGAATGAAATTATTTTTTCATGAACCAACATTAAGTCACAAACAAATCGAGCCCTTAACAGCTAAATTCCACCAATTCTAAAGTTTTGATAATGTTTAATTTACAACAGAAAAGATCTGTTGCTTAAAAGCGAGCAAAGAAGTGTAAATGTATGATATACATGATGTTAACATGATAACAGCATTTTGTTTTGATAACCTACAAGCACAATGGCGTAGCGAGGTTGGGTGTCACCCGGTGCGGCACTTAATGGTGTCACCCCCCCCCCCCAGAGGCGTTGCGACCCTTCCCGAGGACAAACTTTCAAGTTTTCGATTTGCACCCCCCCCCCCCCCCAAACTTTCGATTTGCACCCCCAGCCCCTCAACTTTTTCTCTATATATTTTGCTATTTTTTGCCTTGGTGTCACCCCCCTAAATGGTGTCACCTGGTGCGGTCCGCACCCCCCGCCTCGCCTTCGCTACGCCTCTGCGTTAGGTTACAGAGGAGTTAAACGAAGAGATCAACTTCTACTTACGATGGATATTTTTTAATATATAAATATTCTGAAGGCAACATTTTGTATTTTATATGTCCTGATTTTGTATTTATACTATATTATTATGCTTGCCTACTACTGCTAAAAAGTTTATTTATAGGCTGATTCTCTTAATGTCTTGCACGACAAAGTGATATAGCCTGTAGTGTTATTATAACGATTGGGCTCTGTTTGACCCACAAACACTGAATCCCACTGCCGAAACGGTGGGGGGGGGGGGGGGGGGCTTTTTGGAACTTTTAACCTTTTTCTTTTTTAAAATTATTTATATGTAACAAATATTAAAATTCCATTGTAAAAGTTTTAATTTTTTATGAGGGAAAAGGGCCCCTATGTGCCTTGGGCCCCCATGCCTTGCTTACGCTAGCTTTACGGTAGCTACGCCACTGTGTCAGTGGTCCTTTTGTCTGGAGCCAAATTGACAGGAGCCTTTTTGTCGGGAGCCAAAATGACGCTAGCCTATTTGTCGGGAGTCGTAATGACGGGGGCCGTTTTGTGGAGAAACTAAATGGCGGGAGCCTATTTGTCGGGAGTCGTAATGACGGGGGCCGTTTTGTGGAAAAAACTAAATGACGGGAGACTATATGTCGGGAGCCAAAATGACGGGAGCCTATTTGTCAGGAGCCTTATTGACTGGAGCCCTTTTGTCGGGAGCCTATATAACGGGAGCCTATTTGTCGGTAGCCTAAATGACGGGAGTCTATTTGTCGGGAGCCTATATGACGGGGTCCATATGTCGCTGGCCCTTTTGACGGGGCCGATTTGACGGGGTCGTTTTGTCGGGGTCGTTTTGACGGGGCCGTTTCGTCATTGGCCGAATTGACGCCGCACGAGTGTGTCATTAGGTTAAAACTGTTTGTTTGTTTACTTTATATTGCATCGACTGACCTAAACACCTTTCCAAGACCGTTATACAAGGATTTGGGTCAAGTCAAGGTCAATCAGACATGTTTTCATTTCTCAATTAGCCTATTTAAAAAAAATTAAATTATTGTTTTTATTTTTCCGTTAAAATATTTAAATGATTACACTTAACCTAATAACTATTATTCTTTACACGGTCAAATTTTAAGTTGCTAAATGCTGCTCGAAAGACTTAAAATAAAAATTCGACCGACTTGAAGAACGTGCTAATGGCAATCGAAAGTTATTTTTAGCAACATTTCCTACGGAGACTTAATCGGTGCCTTTAATGAAGGTTGCATACAAATGAACATCGACAGCCTATGGAGGGTTGCATACAAATTAACATCCACAGCCTAAAAATAACTTGTCCCCGATTTATTTACCAAATCAATTTTTTATAAATATTTTGAGTCTAGGGTTTCACCGTAGTGATAACAGTTACACGGTCATGTAGAAGTTGGTCACGACAAAAAATGCTTTTAATAGACTTTATGTATTTAAAACAAGTTAATAAAAAGTCTAGTGACAATTTAAGCGCAATTTCCTTAATTAATTTTTAAAAAGATGTGAAAAAATGATTAGGCCTAGCGAAACAAAACCTTGTAATTGTAACTCCCTATCACTCTCATATAAATTATAAATAAATTAATAGCGTACAAAAATAACGTTTGAATTAATAAGTTAAAAAAAGACAACTATATTAACCTATATCAACGGAAATAGTTTTATTTTAACGAGTAGGCCTACAAGATGCTCAGTTTAAAATATCATCCTAGGCCTACACGATGCTCAGTTTGAATAATTTAAAAAAAATTTTGTAACCGAACGAAAGGATATTTTTGAAAACTTTCTTCGGCAATATTGGTCTAAATTATGGCAGGAATCGATTGGTAAGTCGCTAAGTGGTCTGGTTGCCGAGATATGGAGCAAAAACTGCATTTGTTCGAGGTTTTTTGGCTTTTCCGGGAAATCCAGGAAGGAATTCTGGGAATATTTTTGGCCTATGTTCATCCTCGGAACTTGCTTAACATATTTGCTTTTGGAACTAGTCCTCGATATTGCTTCGTTGAGGAGGAGATACGACTTAAAGCTGCGCACATCCATCCATCCATCCATCCAGAAATAACGAGTTAATAATCGCAATTGTCCAGTATGGAAATTGCGCTAAAAAACTAAATCCCTCAACTTACAAAGGAGAATTTAAATGACCATTAGGCGCCGACTTTGCACAGCATAGACACTGCACCTAATGAATCAATTTACGCATAAAACATGTACAGTAGATTTTATGAACATGCTGTTGCATGGTATTTAAATTTACTTTTTAATAAAGAAAGTATGTTAATTAAAAACCTGAAATTTGTTTTTAAATTTGTGTAGATTTAACAAAAAAAAAACGACCTAGATAAATTTAAAAAAAACAACCTGCACTGTATTGTCGATTTATATTTTTTTTAATTAGTTTTTTTTTTGGACAACAAGACCTATAACTATAATATTTTATAATTAGCCGTTATTTAACATAATATCAACAACATTTTAATAAAATAAAGAATTAATGTGTATATAGCTATAATCCATAATGGAATAGAATGAGAACAGTGTTTCTTTCAGACTTTTTTCTCCGGGGTGGGGGGTGGACACCGGTAAAAGAAGGCCCTATATATTTTCTGTATAGATTCTATTTTGTTTGGGGGGGATGCCTGGAAGAAACTCTGGAAGAGAATAGCTGGATGATTGGGAAATGCTGGGATAAGTCAGTTTAGTTTTTTGAAATATATTACAGTTAGTTTTGTTCTACTAGGAAGATTGTTCCACGAACTGGCAATCGGAGAAGGTAAAGCTAAGCAAGCCATGTGTGTATTTAGTTAACTATCGGTATCTAACACACACTTATTTAAAGAAGATTCTGGGAAAAAATGTATATGGGATGGGTAAAGTAAGACGACGATTTTATTTTGTGTTGTAAGAAAATAGATCATCTGATAATATAAACCACAACACAGACGCTCCCCCCCCCCCCCCACACACACACCCAAACCCATTCTATCATTTACCAGTTACCCAGCCTAGAATTTACTGGGGCATATGTTGCACAAATGAAGTGAATAGTGTGTGTTCGGGTGTGACGACGTAATAGTGTGTACGTGTCATCCTCAGCTTTCCGACATCCGCTAGCAGCAACAAAATGGCGGGGTGCGACATTCGGTACCAGAACAACCGACCCATGAGACAGGCTGACGGTGAAATGCGCCTAACTAAAGAGTTAGCCTAGCCTGGGTTCTAGACAGTCTCCAGACCAATAGATTAGTGATATAATCTGATATTAACGGCTCACAACAGAAGATTATGGAGATAGCCTGGTTCTAGACAGTCTTCAGACCAGTAGATTAATGACACAATCGATACTAACGGCTTACAACAGAAGACTATAGAGAAAATAAGTAAAACGTCCACAAGGACAGTAATAAATTTAAAAAAGCAGAATTAAAAAAAAAATTTAACAAAGGACAGACATACCATAGAAAATAGGCAATCAGTAAGAGAACCCGATGGGACCACAACTTCAGTGCATAGTCTACCATGAATATTCGATGCAGAGGTGTAGCGAGGGGGGCGGGGGTGCGGACCGCACCGGGTGACACCATTTAGGGGGGTGACACCAAGGTAAAAAATAGCAAAATATATAGATAAAAACTTGAGGGGGGGTGCAATTCGAAAGTTTAAGGGGGGGGGGTGCAAATCGAAAGTTTGAGGGTGGGGGTGCAAATCGAAAGTTTGAAAGTTTGTCCCCAGGAAGGGTCGCTACGCCTCTGGGGGTGACACCATTAAGTGCCGCACCGGGTGACACCCGACCTCGCTACGCCACTGATGCGATGTAACCACCGTATGTTGTATAGTAGGACGTACGTATATGCCGAGTTGTACACATGAGCATAATTGAGATAGATGAGACAAGCCATTTGACTACATCTTCTATAGGTAGTTATCGTAGAAGATTCTAAAGCTAGTTAAATTGCATGTTCAGTGAAAATGTATAGGTTTATTGTAAACGATTTTTAAAGTTGTTTTATTTTCTACTGATTAGTATTTAGGTCTTATATACAGTGTGCGCCCTGATTATAGAACATAAAGTATTCTCATGTTATTTGAGATGCACTTTAATCTTCAAACACTATCCATTCTCTGTAGCAGCAAATATTTAGTAGATCACCACAGCCAAAATTATCCAGAAATCTCTATAGGAGCATGCATCAAAGTTCGCCTTAAAGTATCCAGAGATCTGTATAGCAACATGTATCCACAGTTGGCCATAGTTAAAGTATCCATAGATCTGCATAGCAACATGTATCCACAGTTCGCCGTAGTTAAAGTACCCAGAAATCTCTATCCTACACGACCGGTTCTTGGTGCATACGATCCTCTAACTTCGTGACAACAGCTCCATATTTAAGTCTGAAGCTATATATACCAAATGTTTCGAAAAGTGGAAAAGTTAAGAGCTTAAGGGTTATCTAATTATCTAAACAGATTAATAATATGCTGGAGTTGTTTTGTTTTTTTAATCAAAGGTTGACACTGAACACGATGTATCAGTCGTGGTGCTGTAGAAAACTTGCATAGCTAAGCCAAGAGCAGTGCTTCTTCCAGACTTTTTTCTCCGGGGGGGGGGGGGGGGGGGGCACTTGATATTTCGAAGTAAAAGTTACGTATTTGCAATTTTGCATGCATCACATGTATTCTTTAGGTTGAGCATAAACATTAAGCTGTAAACCTAGTTGTAATTACTTTTTTAGCGCAATTTCCATTCTGGAGAATTGCGTTTATTAACCCGTCATTTCTGGATGTATGAATGTATGAATGAATGGATGGATGGATGGATGGATGGATGGATGTGTGTCCGCAGCTTTAAGTCGTATCTCCTCCTCAACGAAGCAATATCGATGACTAGTTCCAAAAGCAATTATGTTAAGCAAGTTACGAGGATGAACATAGGCCTTAAAAATTCCGGGTTTCTTTCATGGATTTCCCGGAAAAGCCAAAAAACCTTTTAAAAAAGCAGTTTTTTGCCCATATCTCGGCAACCAGACCACTTAGCGACTTGAAACTTGTACCAATAGATTCCTGCCATAATTTAGAACAATATTGCCGAAGAAAGTTTTCAAAAATATCCTTTCGTTCGGTCACAAAAAAAATTTTGAATTAATTAAAATTTGGACCGAATTAGTAAGCATATTTATCCAACCACACCACACGCGTCATCACGTTCAATTGCTGCGCCATCACGTTCAATGGCTGCGTCATCACGTTCAGTAGGCGCGCAATGGTTTTTAGTCATGTAACTCTATTGTAAATAAAACATGTAAAATACTGAAATTTTTTAAAATAAAAAACGTTTTAATAACTAACCAATGGTTTTACTAACCCTGCTCTTGATTTACGCTACGACAGAGCTATTTTAAGTATTTTTAGATAACATAAGGAAATTGCGTTTAAATGTCACTAGACTTTTTAATTAACTTGTTTTCCATATTGCCAGCGCGTGTAAATGTATTTAAAAAATTAAGCTTCTAGTTTAGTTTGTAAAATTTACTAGTTTAGTATACTATAGTTATAGAAAACTAGATCTATAGATCAACTTAAATTCTAAATTAAATAAGCAACTTATCGATAATTCTTTCTTTTCGATATTTGTTTTCTATTTATTTTGAATAGTTTTCATCCTCTTTTATGTAGAAAAATATATTTATGGTCTTCCGTTTCAATTGTAATCGTGGCTACTTTTGCTTTCACAACCGGTGTTGTGTTATTGAAGTTCGAAAACAAATCAAAACAGATCTAGATCTAGAGATCTACTAAACTTACTTAATAATTCTTCACTTTGGTAAACTAGTACCGGTAATCTAACTTCTGCATTCAGTATTGCTATTTTTTATACTATTGTTACACAGTTCACACTTGAAATTAATGAAATTAAGGGTCAGTAACACAGTTTCAAGCCGAGTTTGATGTTGAGTTGATGAGTTTGAACTTGAGCTTTCGTTTTGAGTTTTGATGGTTTGCCTTTCTAATTCTTTCACTCACTGTTGCAGTTTACTAGATAATAATGTAGGCCTACTAAATTATTAAACTGTTAGTCTGATGACATAACCACACCTCCATCTCACTCAGTTTTTTTGGGCAATTTTCCAAGTTGGGTCCACACCATTCTGGCTCCACGGCTCCATCAACTGATCTTTTCTAAATCAGAGTAAATCTGCTTTGGTCTAGATCTACCTACTTTCCTTGTGTAATTTATGCGTCTAGTGTGGTCTGGTGATGTTCTTGTTCTCAGCTACTAACTTAATAAGTTAAATACTGTATACCCTACAAGATCTAGAACATATGCTAACTCTTAAATCTTAATAAATTGGCTGATACTAGATCTAGCCGGAATAAGATGCGCATGTGCATGTGTTTACAACCGCAGAACCCTAACACCAACCCTAATCCTATCCCTAACCCTATCCATAATCCTATCCCTAACCCTAATCCTAACACTAACCCTAATCCTATCCCTAACCCTAATTCTAGCCATAGGTCACTGCGCATGCGCAGAACTATCTTTTGCCGACTAAGTGGAGACGTTGGGGAGAAAAATCTTCTTCGAGTAGTCCTTCGTAATAAATTCTAGTTACTATATTTAGATCTCTAGTAGCAGGCGATTAGAATGTTTGGTAGGATTGCATTGATAAATTTACCTTGATTAATAATTAGCGATTGGCCTATTTATGACTTTTTAGGTTAACCTGCTTGCTTCTGATTAATCATTAGAGATGTTGATACGTTGCTTTATTTTGGAACCAGTGTTTTTACATAAACAATATTTCTTTGGCTGTATTAGCTGTAACATATCTTATCTTCAGACATTTTTTAGTTTAAATATTTTGGCTTGTGTTTTTATAATGATGACATTGGTTTCCTTCATAGACCTGTCAATGGGAAATGTTGAAGCCCATGACTTTGCTCCAGTCAGGGATGATGAGAGGAAAATTCTCAACCTCAGCAGAAAAGTGTCTCCAAAACAGTATGTAAAGGTATAAAAATCATTCATCTTTTAAAACTATTGTATTAACATTGTTTCAAGGGGTCGGTGTGGTTGGGCGGGTAAAGCTGATGGTTGCTTAACAGAAAAGTCATGAGTTCAAACCTTCAGGAAATAAGGTTTGAAACCTGGGGACAGTAACCCATGTAGGAGGTGCCTTGTAGTTTTTTCTTGGATGGACAAAGGCTATGGAATCAAATCCAGAAAGAATAGAAGGCTGAAATTGGAACTAATTGTGTATAATATAATTACATGTATTAAGACATTACATTAAGAACAATGAAGTAAAAGAACAGTATTCACTTTTCTATAAATTATTAGTAAATAATCCTAATGTGTTATACTATTATCAATGTGGATTATTCATTATGACATTTATGACTACTATTTAATACGAGCCAGCCCTCGGCATATCATACACCGCTATTTAGTTGTTGTTTTTTCTAATTTTCAGTAATTCATAATTTGTGAATTCGACAGTACCAACGCTGCCACTGAAAATATTTCTTTAAAACACTATCAGTTGCTCGTTAAGGACGATAACCCCCCCTCCCCCTTCCCCCCCCCCCTCCACTTAGTTACTACCCCCCCCCCCCCTATGTTTAAAATCATTTCAAACTAAATTATCTGCCCCTAATAGTCGTCACTAAACCCGGCTCTGCTTGTTAACATTAAGCGTGAACCACAGCTCACCAGACCATGTAGGGGTGGGGGTGGAAGGGAGCGCGCTTACAGCTTGTTTTCTAGCGTCTCCCAGAAGAGAATTATATATATATAGATTTAATACAATAGAAGTTAAACTTTTCCTTTTTTTCCAAAATATAATACAAGTCTTTTATTTTTTAATACTTTAGCATCTGCAAGGAGAGTTCCATGAAGCTTGTCTTATGGAACTACCATGGCATATCAGAGACTCTGTTTCCCTGTATGAGACCATGACAGTGGCTTTCAATGCTCTGACAGAGCTCCCTGTGGAGCTGCCCCTGCGTCTGCCACACTTGAGCTTCCTTGACCTGAGCCACAACCAGCTGGAATCTCTGCCAGAGAGTTTTGGCCTTTTGTTCCATTTGAAGGAGATTTTTCTGCAGCACAACAGACTCCTAACACTGCCTGAGAGCTTTGTTCATCTTGTCAAACTGGAGAAAGTTAGTATTGCTCATAATGTATAAGACCCTAGGTGGCTTTAGTTTTTCGGCACTATTTATATTACTGAACTGATACAAACTCCTCTTTTATATGCTAAAAAGTTTTACTGTGTCAAAAAACCTGGCAGTCAGTAGAGTTCACCTGTTTCTGTATTATTGGATATGTATCACATAATCTATCTTTTATTTTTAGCCAGATATATCACATAATCTGTCTATTATTTTAGCCAGATATATCATAATCTAACCTTCATCTTTAGGCAGATATATCCCATAATCGTCTACGACAGCTGCCTGATAAAATTGGGACCATGGAAAGCCTTGCTCGGTTAAACTTGATTCACAATAAATTAAAAGAGCTCCCTTTGTCATTTGGGTCTCCCTCCTCTCGTGTTTGCCTTCTACTTGTCCATCAGGTGAGTTTTCTGTAAATAATACTTTAGAACTATCTAAAACTATCTAATATTCAATGGCATTGGAAATGGAATTAATATTAATTACTAGTTATGAAGTAGCATCTTTTGTTGTGTTTTGTTGTTAAATAGTTTTTCTCTTTATTTTCATTCATTTAAATTTTCCTATCCATTACTAGTTGAATACATGAATTAATTTTTTTGATATGTAAATAACTTTGATGTATGTCTAGAATCATGTATGAATTTTTTGACATGTAAATAACTATGATGTATGTCTAGAACCGTCTGGAAAGTCCCCCTCAAGCAGTTTGTGATGAAGGCTCAGCTTCTACCCTGGAGTATGTGAAAAAACAGTACTGCACAAACTGTGAAGAGTTCCCTAAACTACCCAGCATTTCACTGAACCAGTTTCCTCGCTGCTGCAGCAATAAGTCAGAGCCGTCCGTCAACAACCCTCACTCCGCCCAGATCCAATACATTCAGGAGCAGACAAATACTTCTCACACAACCAACAGGATTAAGGCCCCATTGTTACCGCCCCTGGAGGCTTCTTTGCTTACACCATTCCAGTTGCAAGATGCTGTCATAGGTAATGGAACTAGAGATATCTTTAGTAAACTATATTTTGATGGACTGACAAGTTCATGATAACTGGCATAGCTGATGTAACTTAAGATAATTTTTGTAAATAATTTATTTGATAGACTGACAACTTTACAATAACTAACATTGGAACTTGAAATAACTTTAGTAAACTATGTTTTTAATAGACTGATAATTATAATAATTAACATACTAATAGAATTTGAGATAATTTTAGTAAACTATTTATTATAGACTGACAGCTTTATGATAACTAACATAAATAATGGAAGTTTAGATAACTAAAATTAGTTGAATAAAATACTAAGTAATGATGTTTATATGCTCACAACAGACTGATTTTCAAACTTCTATCTGAAAGGTTTAATATACGGGGCCGCCATAGGTGACGCCATTGGGGTGTCTTGCCGTTGGATGTCTGATGATGAAGTTGCTTTTCATTATGGAAGCGAGGATGATTTAATTTATTCCAAAATTGTTCAAGATGAGCACAGGGTGTTGTGGAGACAAGGGGACTGGACATCCAACTTTGACCAGTTGGTGAGGCTTTCGTTCCTTGTCTGTTCCATATATATATCCAGTTCCAGTATATCTGCCTTTTGTGTGTCTGTTCTTCCTAGTCACTAAAAATGCACATCTGTTTCACCACAGTTTCATCTTTCAGGTTCCTGAATACTTGGCATGTTATTATTGCGTTTGTTGATGTAATAACTGCATACTCTTTTGGACAACAGTTTTTTTTTCTTTCTCCCTAATTATTAATGCCCATCACAATATCAGATAGTTAGCCTGTACTGATAGTTATGTTAATGTAACATTAACATCAGCTAGTTTATATTTTGTGTAGTGATAGTACACAGATGCCTTATTTCATTAATCTAAGTGCCAATGTTATTTGTATAAATGCTTGTACCACTTCATAGAATTCTTCAGCTGTAGCTGGGCTACTGTAAACCATGACATGTTTGTTTACCTTGAGCCAGATGCTGTAATACTGTAAACATCAGATGTTTGTTTACTTGATGTTTATATCTGTACTACTGTAAACCATGAAATATTTGTTTACCTTGAGCCAGATGCTGTAATACTGTAAACATCAGATGTTTGTTTACATTATGTTTATATCTGTACTACTGTAAACCATGAAATATTTGCTTACCTTGAGCCAGATGCTGGTGTTGGAGTCCCTGGTGAACTGGGCGGGTGTGGTGGATGAGCTGGAGTTTGCCAGACGTCTACAGACCTGGTCCAGACATGGTTACAGGGAGCTGGGGGACACGGCCGGCGTGATGACCAGTGACACACTGATAAAGGTGCTGATAATACTACAACATCCTCTATAGCCTCACTTTTAAAAACTCAGTCCATGTTTTAGAGGTTTATTTAACTCTTCTCTATTACAGCACAAACATATCTTAAACTAGTATGGGAACACAATTTTTTTAAAAATATTTTACTTCTGACATTGTTTACTAAATTTTAACAATTTTGGTTACTGTAAAATGGCTATGATATTTTCTATAACTCTAGCCCACATAACATTACAAAATAAAAATAACACTGTTCATGTATTAATTCAGACACTCATGGGAAGTTTATTTTTTTGTTTACTGTGCTAGGTTGTTTCCCATGACAACTTCACCACTGACCCTCACGGTGTGTCCAGGACAATCCTACAAGAAAATCAAATCACAGAAAATGGCACATCATCAAAAGCTGACACGCCAATTCTTCCGCCATCACCCTTGCCAAGATTATCATCATCATCCTCATCTTTGTCCCAGCTGTGCTTACAAAACCACTCTGATGTTGCACAGAGGCTTGTCTACATTGCACCCTGTGAGAAGTTTGGAGAAGATAATGGAGCTGTTGTCAGGACAGCAATACTTGGTGAGTTATCGTCCTTGTAAATGTATAGTTACCTATCCTAATTTGAGTTACTGCTCTTGTTTAGTTAAATTATTTCAAATATTGAGCTACTGTCCTTGTTATATTGCTGTACTTGAAGTTTTAAGTTAACTTTACAAACTTGGCAGTCCATTAGGCAGATGACGTAGAGTTCCCTGTTTCTGTGAACTTGGTATATAAAGGTACTTTGTGGTAAGCATTATGCCCAGAATTCCAGAGCTAACTCTGCCTCTATTGTGCACATCAAACAGAATTTAAAAACAGTATGTAAATAGAGTATCGCATAAATAGATCTCAGTTGCAAGATTGACAGAATTATACCCCTGATATTCTGTGTCTAAATTTTTCTATGAAGACCTATCTCCTTTTGCAGGAATACCAAATTTCCATGAGCTATCTGAGGTGGAGGGGAATGCTATCAGAATCTGTAGGACAACTCACTCTGATGCAAAGTGTGTTGCTAGCTGTGTGTTTGTCTCCCTTCTTGTGGCTCTCTTGTTACAGGTACAGTAACAATCTTGTCTCCCTTTTTTCAGTAACATAGTTGTCTCCCTTCTTGTGTCTCTTGTTTTCAGTAACATTTTTGTCTCCTTTGTGACCATTTTGTAAGAGTAACAATCTTGTCTTCCTCTTGTTATTATAAAAATGTTTTCTCTCTTCTTACAGTAACATTGTCGTCTCCCTTCTTGTCACCCTCTTGTTATTCTTAAATAACAACATTTTTGTTTGGCCTACTCACATAGTATGGTCTGATGTCAGATTTTCACAGTCTCTACTTTTGTTTTTATTACATAGAACAAGTTGGTGGATGTCTTACCAAATGAAAATGTCTGAATATGAAATTAATGTCTTTTGTTTTAGGGCAAGTTGATAGATGTTGAAAATAAAATGAAAGTCTCTGATGAATATTTAAATCTAGCTTTCTCTATGGCTGCAATTCATTTACCAAATGAGAACGATAAAAAGGAATTTCTTGAGCTGAAAAATACTGCTTCATTTTCTAGGTCAGTCGATGCTGCTTGAAATCTTTAAGTGACAATATCTTTTACTTGTTATTTAAATTGATAATTGTCGCTTCGTGTTAGCTTATATTTATAATTTTATCAGTACATCAGTAAAACTTATAAGATTTTTTTTTCAGTTTAAACGCTAAAGATTCTCAATGTATGAGTCACACGTATAAGCCATTACAAGCAGCCCTGCTAGCTCTACATTGGAAAGAAGACTTTAGGTAAAAACATTTACTACATAGTAGTATCAGAATCTGTAGGCTTTTTAATAATAAAATTATGTTAAACGACTTAAAACTGAACTACTTTTATAATACTTATATGAAATCAGGTTTAGATAACACAACTGCTTTGTGATATTAATTTAAACAAATTAGTTCTCTCTTAGACTTTATGGTCTATGGTACTCTAGCCAACTTCTTTCCCTGATTCAAATCGGCTACCCTTTATAGCTGAGTGGACCAGAATTAACTCAAAATTTGTGGATTAAATGTTCTCAACCACACTGTCCCATGAACATTAATTTTAAAAAGTTCACCATAATTGTTTCATGTGTTGCAGGTCTTTCATTACCAGTCTATCAAAGCTGGCTGGAGACAGTAGCAGCAACGCATGTGTTGCTGGAGCTATTTTAGGCTGTCGAGTGGGCTACGGACATCTCCCCCAGGTGTGGGTGGAAGGCCTGCGCAGGCAACAAGTCCAGTGGTTAAACACAAAAATCAATCACCTTCTAGACATCATGGGCTCACCATAACAAAAGATCATCTTCTATACATCATGGGCTCACCATAACAAAAGATCATCTTCTAGACATCATGGGCTCACCATAACAAAAGATCATCTTCTAGACATCATGGGCTCACCATAACAAAAGATCATCTTCTAGACATCATGGGCTCACCATAACAAAAGATCATCTTCTAGACATCATGGGCTCACCATAACAAAAGATCATCTTCTAGACATCATGGGCTCACCATAACAAAAGATCATCTTCTAGACATCATGGGCTCACCATAACAAAAGATCATCTTCTACTTATCTTCTAAACATCATGGGTTCTCTGTAACATTGGTTATTTTTGTTTCCTGGTTGATACTGCAAATTAAATGCCTGTTGTCTTTTAAAGATCTTCCATTTTCTAAAAATATTGGACATAATTTTTTTTAAGAGTTATAAAAAAAATTGTAATGCAAAGTTACTTTTTTAAAAAAAAATCCTTTATGAAGTATTTTTCGTAGAAGAATTAAAATGGTCAGTCTTACTATGCTTTATACAAAAATATAACACAAATATTAATTTTACATTAATTTCTGATTACAGTTTAAGAGAGATTAAAATAAATTATATCAATAACTAAAATAGGAAATTACACTATAGAAGACATTTTAAAAAATAGAAAACATATTTTAGGTAATCATATTGTTTTACAGAGACATATCGAGAACTTGATTTTTTTTGTATGCAGGTAAATTTATGAATACTCTAGAATAAAACCATGAAAACTTAAAAAGTGCTAAATTTACAAACTAGATGTTTTATTTTTTATTTTAATGCTAACACAAGTTGTGCTGTTTACTTTTTATATAATTATATCTTTAATGTAAACTGTATAATAGAAAACTTCACTTTTATAAACAGCTCAAAAATAGTGACAGTAAGAATAAATGTAAATGATACATACATTTATTTTATTTACTTAGGGTTGTGTCTTAATGTGTAAATGAAATGTATATAGGAAAAAAAAACGTAATGTATTTTAGAGTTGTTATTTAGACAGCTGAGTTAGTGCTGATCATTAAAGTAGTTAAGTTAAATGTAGTTGATTAGTTAATTTTTTTTTTAATTTAAGTATACTCTACATTGTTGTTTTATCAGTGCAATTCTAATAATTATTTTAAATAACTTACATATTGTTATAAGCCCATTAGGATATCATTTGTTAAAATTTAGTTTACAAAATAAAATTTTGAATAATTAAACTGCATAATAGTATTTAACAGAAATATTTTATTTATGTTAATTTTAAGAAGAATTGATATTACTGCTTATTAGCCTTACATTGTAGTAAAGGTTTATCTGCATATCAGTATAACAAAAATGAATACTTGTCATTGATGAATGCAAGCAATGTTCCACATCTTGATAAAAGCAACATATTGGGGTTTTATTAACCATTCAGCATATACTATTGCTTTTATTTACATATGATAAATTTTTTTTGGAAATGAGTTATAAATGTTTATTAATTTTAAAACAGTTTTGCCAAAGCAACTTAATCAAACATAAAAATTGCTCATAATATTTTATAATTTCACCACCCCTTCATTTATTTGCTTAAAAAATTGTCACAAGATGTTATTGTATTTTACTTTACCATACATTTATCATCCATTAAGATTGTGATTTGTTAAAGATGCTAATAAGACTAACATTTATTTATTACTATAGTGATGTAAATTTAGAGTAAACAATACTCTAATGAAGCTGTGATATGATATATTAATGGATATGTTATCCTAAAAATGTATTTTATTCATTTTTCTCCATGACGTAATATATTATTATAAAATTTTAAAAATTATCATTCAAAGGGAATAAAACATTGCAAATTTGATTTCATGTCTTGATTGTGAAATTGCGTGTGTTATTATTAAATCTGTTGCTGTTAATGAAACACTTTTCAAAAATATACCAAGCAATTCTTGTCTTATATTCCTAAATCTATTCAAAATTTCTTTCTTTTTTTTATTATTATTTTATTTATACAGATAGATAGTAGATATTTAGGTAACCTATAAATGTGTATTTCAGGTTGACATTAACTTTCAGAATGTAAAACTATGGTTTTATATGTTCAAAATTTATAAACTTGTTAGTATTGAAAGTTGTCAAGGAGTCGGCATGGTTGAGTCAGTAAAGCTCATGGTTGCTAAGCCGAAAAGTCTTGAGTTCGAACCCTCGAGCAGATGAGGCTCGTTAGCTGGACTCTTCTATGAGAGACAACCCCAAAATCAAACAACTGCTGCCTTGTAGTTTGTTCTTGGTTGGACAAAGGCAAGGCTTTGGAAGCAAATCGAAAAGAAAAGCTGGATGACATGGCTCATAACCAGTTGACACATATACTTAATTATGTTGGAGGGGATCCGTTCCAATACTAAAATTAAGAACAAAGAAGAAAAAAGCTGTCACAAAAGCACAATATGATTGATATGCTAGTACTATCATAAAGAAAATAGATTGAAATAAAACTCTAAAATTGAGTGTTTCAAGTGTTTGGAAGTGAGACTAGAGAATCAAAACTCTCAATCGGACTTTAAAACTACTGGGAAAATAATAGCTCCTTGTCAGAGGCGTCGGTGGCAGGGGGTGCACACCGCACCGAGTGACACCGTTTACGGGGATGACACCAATACAAAAAAAATAGCAAAATATATTGAATAAAAAAGCTTTTTTCAGTTCAATAAATAGTTAGAGGTAAAAAGTCTTTTAAGTACAAATTGACAACATGACCTAAACATGCAAACTGTAGAGAAATCAATGTTACATCCAGCTGTATTAATAACCGTATATAGAAAAATATCGATAGTATTAACTGTGAACACTCTAAAGTTATTAACAGGGCAGGGGTGGTGGACAAAGTTAATAGGTGGATTAAAATAATGTGAGCACAAATTGAAACTATTCGGTAAAATCGGAGGCAGGTTTCACCAATATAGCAACAAATATCATACATCCACAACACCCCTAAATTTACTAGACCTATTTATTTAAAGAAACATTTACTTTTTTACATCTCATTTTTTTTTATAAATTTGTTCTAGAAACGCAGACATTAATATCACATTAATATCAATAAACACCACCACCTCCACCTTAATGTCGTCACATAAGTCACAACTCTTTTAAGGTACATGACGTCATTTACGGACGCATCTTTTTTTTTTTTACAGGAAAGGTGATTAAAATAATAATCACTGGACCAGTAATTCTTCCAGACTTTTTTTCTCGAGGGGGGGGGGGGGCACTTATTTTGGGGGGGGGGGGGCGGGCGGGGGCGGACACTGTTGAAATCATATATTTTCTATATAAATTCCATTTCATTGGGGGGGGGGGGGGGAGAATTCCTTCGGGGGGGGGGGGGGGGGGGGGGGGGGGGGCAGAGTTTCTTCCAGGCATCTTTTCGGGGGGAGGGGAAAGACCCCCCCCCCCCCCAAGAAATTTTTTTACCGCCCCTCCCCCAGAACGAAATGAAATTTATATAATTTATATAGAAAATATATACTTTTAACAGAAAGTCTACCGCCCCCCCCCCCCCCCGAAAATTTCAAGTGCCCCCCCCCCCCACGGAGAAAAAAGTCTTGAAGAAACACTGGGGGGGGGGGGGGCTGGAAGAAACTCAGGGGGCTAAACTCAACTTCAGAATCAAAATTAAACCCTAAACTCTACACTCACTGAGTGTTAAGACAAAAATTATATGAATAAATAAGGAGTCGTCTACTTGGTCTAAATATATTAATATTAATAACGTCACGCGTTTTTGACCTATTTCTTCTTCTCCACCCCCCCCCCCCCCCCACCTTCCCCCCACCGCCCACCCTATATCTCGATCACCATATAATTATAATAATAGTAATACATTTTGCATTAAAATTTTAAACCCACAAAATAAGTATTTAATAGCTTTTTGAAGTTCAATATTGACATTTTAAATTCTAAGAAAATAAATATACAGAGGTCTAAGTCAAACTGAGATAAATATATATTTCGTCTTGTCTGCCGATTATAATTTTTATTAAACAGGTTAACACCGTTAACGCCCCTATCCGTGTCATCTGCTCCAGGAAGAGGAAGATGAACAAAAGACATCCATAAAAATAGAGTAACAATAAAATCAACATGAGTAACCAACAACCCAAACCCAAGGCAGTTAATTGCCCATCTATTCTACTGCAGCAAGAAGAGAATGTAGACCTGTTCGATACTATGGGAAGACTCTGTCTTGTGAGCATTTCTTTATAGATCTATATTTTTTTTAAAAACAAATCGCGATAATTTTTTACATTTTTACTTTCTCGTATATACGTAGTATAGAGAAAGTATTGTAATCGTGCAAAAAAAAAAAAATCGAGATTTTTACAAATCTCGACGTTTTACACCTCACTGATACGGAAAAACATAATTTTGCAATCTTGTCCGTATGTCTGTGTGTGTGTGTGTCTGTGTGTGTGTCTGTCCGTGTGTAAACACGATAACATAGATCTATAAATAAGTATTTTATCAAAATCGTAGATCCGTATCAACTTTTGAGCGATTTCCGATAACCGGAAGTGGTACTTTTCCTACTTTGAATTTTTTAAAAGCCTATAACTTGAGTACTATTTCAGATAGATAAATGAAATTTCACATGTAAGTAAAAGATCTAATTCTCTACCTTCTGTTAAATTTTGAGTAATTTCCGTTGACTGGAAGTAGTAATTTACGCTACTTCCGATTTCTCAAAAAACTAATGTAAATTTTAAAAGTACTAATAATATTGCGCACTATTATGCGCTTTTTTTATTTGCGTTCACTTGGTGTGCAATTAATTTGTCTACGAGATTTTATTCTATTTTTAAAACTTTAAGTATTTAAAATGGATTAAAAATCATGTCTATAGCCCGAGTTTCCATCCCCTGTTATTTTATATAAGAATATTCGAGAAAGTTTAGGGGAGATCACTCCCGGTTTATTGTTTGCATCATCAGTCATCACTCATCAACTCATCAGTGCATCACACTAATCAAAATCGGTAATCTATCGTTTTAGGCTTTAGGAATAGGTAGAGTACGTAAAATCGCCCGCGACTAGACTAGTAATGTGAAAAACAGGTGACTCCTTAAATTTTAGGCCTAATAATTATTTCACAGATGGCCTCTTTTTATATATAGCAAATCCTGCTCGCAAACACTACTGCTGTTAAAAGTTAATTTCTTGCCTATATAATATATATAATATATTGATATATTTAGCCGTTGATATAGGTTTATTATTCATTTATCTATAATATTTGACACAAATATATCACAATATACTTCTATTAGGCCTAAAGCCTTGACAATGACTCAGATGAGGTAACTGTTTCGTACATTACTAACCACGGGCGATTTTACGTACCTAAAACGATAGATTACCTCAAAATCATTAGCTTCAGAACATGACACTTGAGACTGAATATTTCTGCCTTACTTTTTACTGGTTTTATGACTTTCTTGTGATCATTATGGCCTATTTTTAGCTGACCAATTACTCTATAGGCCTAATATATTATTTTAAAAAATGTATAGTCGTGTGCATGGAGGGATTTTTTTTATCATCTTGTATTTGACATTTACCTTTTCAAAGGAGAGGTAACTGCTCTGGTGGTTGCAGGTCCAAACACATGTTTGGGTTATAAGTCACATCTGCTGTGTGGCTAAAAGACAAGACCATAATACAGCAATTGAGCAATGGCTGTTCACAAAACTTTATTGTAGACTTGGATGAAGACGAAGACCGAAGTGGTCAAAAATTCAAACTCTTTGTGGCCGTCATAAATGGATGACATTATAAATGAATGATTCAGTGTATAGGCCTACATGTTTGTAACCTAAAACTATGTTTGTAACCTAAAACTATGTTTATTCATCTAAGATTGCTAAAATATATTTTGTTTCCCTTATCTTATTGTTATATCCACAATAGTTAATCCTGTAAATTTAATTACTTTAAATACCCTTTTTCCTGTTGCAGTCTCTGGCCACTGGTGTTGTGCAGCTCTACCTGGCAGATCAAGCTGACAGAAACAGGTGGAACAAAAGATGCTGTGGGGTTGCTTGTTTTGTGAAAGATAGCTCCAAAAAATCTTTTTTCATCAGAGTCTATGATTTAAAGGTATCTAGTATTACAAATTAACACTTTGAAAAATTTAGCCCCTGAAAAAAAATAAGTTAACATTTTTAGCAATTGTCTACTACCTTTTCTAAAATATATTTGTGCTTTTATAACAATTAAAATTTTAACATCTGTCCAGTGGTGTAGCAACCGGGGGGCAGGGGGGTACATATGTCCCCGGGCGCCAACCCTAGTGGCACCAAAATAAGCTAATTTTATCTGCTATTTTAAATTACAAATATAAAAAGTATTGAAAGTTTGTCCCCGGGCGCCGGTAGGGGTCGCTACGCCTCTGCATCTGTCATTGCTTTTGTCAACAGAAAAAGCAGATGATATGGGAGCAAGAGATTTACAACCAGATTGTCTACAAAACTCCCAGAGAATATTTTCACACTTTTGAGGCTGAGGTAAAGTTTGTTTCAGATGAATGAACTCTTCGTAGTTTAGATGCAAGTCCATGCTCTTGTTAAATAAAAAGCTAGGAAAATATTTAATTTGTTAGTTTAAGTGAATAAAAAAAAATTGTGTCAATATATGTTATGAAGTTTACCCCAATATATGATTTGAACTTTACCTCTTGGATAATTTGTTAAAAGGTTACTGTTATTGTTTCCTATTTTAGAACTGTCAAGCTGGTTTGAACTTTGCTAGTGAAGATGAAGCTCTTAAGTTCAAGAAAGCTGTGGAAGGAAAACTGAATGAAAGGCAGAGAAAGAGACAAGGTGAGCATGTGTAAATTTTAAAATTGGTTTGCATTTTGGGGCAGGAAATCCAAATCTCTGTTTTGTATAAACTTCATTCGAATTTATCAAACCAAGTACAAGATATTGAAAATGTGTGTCTGGATGTTAAATTTCATTTTGACATTTTTTCTTATTAAAATACCAGGAAGGAAAAGACAAACAGTTGCTTCAAAGCCAGGGTATGAATCTGCTAACCTTCCCCAGGGACCTCCTCCACCAAGTGAGCGTTTATTCATTACTGGTTCACAGGTTTTAACCTGCGTACTTGAATCAAGTAGCAAAGGCCTGATTAAGTGACTATACACAAGTGACACAAGGCACATGTCTTGTATGACTTGATTTCCCCATGACGTGCCTCAATTCTTATTCTGTTTACTAATGCCAATTGCTCATCTACAGTGGTTCTGAAAAATTTCAGCCTGTTCTAGAAAGCAGCTGTTATGTTTTCTAATGAAATTATTCAGAATAATAGAAGCCTTTTTTCTCTATAATGCCCCACTCCCTACGCATGGTGATATATAATAAATCTGACTTTAAGCCATGTTATAATACTATCTATGTTTAGAATATTTATTATGTCTACAATATAGTAGAGGGGCATAATGTATGATAACTCTTCTTTGTGAAAAATAAAATTGCTGTTCTATCACTTCTTCAGGGTCAAATTTAACACCCATCCCATCATCCCAGCCAGTGAGTGTCAATGTTGAGTTAAATCGCAGCAACAACAACATCAGTACCAGTGCTGGGAATGTGAAGAAGAACAAGGACAATAAGAAGGACGCCAAAAAGAAGCTAACAAAGGCTGATATTGGCACACCATCCAACTTTGTGTATGTCACCCATCTTTTCATCTGTCTTGTTTTTTGTTTTTTTTACAGAACCTCAATTTCAGTGGGGTTTTTTGTGTCAAAATTCTGTTTAATAAAAAGGGGTATAGTTATGAGTAATTACATTAACTTATGGGTGTGGTAAAATATATTTAATAAGTGATTTCATTAACTTACGGGTGTTTTAAAATATAATTAGGTAGCTAATTTTTAAGAAAAGCTGCAAATATCTTTTTCAGACATGTCAGCCACGTTGGTTGGGATCCAGACAAAGGTTTTGATGTAAGTTGATTTGTTGAAGTCTGGCTTTAATTATTCTGCTGTCTGAAATGAGTCTATTGTCTTGACTTTTCAAAAATTTATTTTAGATTTGTGCTTGATTTAAAAAAAATCAAAACTAATTGTATTTACAGATATTTTTTTTTGGAGATATTTTTCATTAGTGCTTTTAATGAGTGGTTGAAATTGAAAGTGTAAATATTTTTTCCCAGATGAACAACCTTGATCCAGACATGCAGACACTGTTCCAGTCTGTGGGTATAACTGCCGATGCTAACGTAGATAAAGAAACCGTTGATTTTATCTATGACTTTGTGGAGAAACATGGTGGGATAGAAGCTGTGAAGAAAGCTATTGGACCTGTCAAATGTAAGTCATCAGTGTTAAAGTTTCAATTCATTTATATAGGGATTGTTGGAGACATTTTTATTTTCTACATTTGTAATTATTAAACAAATAAATGTTTGAGTAATACATTTATGGCATTGTATCTTTGTGCAAATAAAACAGTTTGTTAAATATCCATTTATAAAGTTGGCTTTTGTTTAAAGTTTCAGAAGTTTTTGGTCTAACTAAATTAATAAAAAAAAATTGGTAGCAATTGAAAATAATTGTTCTGATCTAAATTGACATTTAAATTTTTTTCCAGCTAATGCTGCCCCGCCACCACCTCCTCCAAACAATCGAAATGCTGCCCCACCTCCTCCACCCAACCGTTCAGCTGTACCTCCACCCCCACCATCCAGAGCAGCCATGCCCCCGCCTCCACCTTCTGCCACAGCAATGCCACCACCCCCACCATCTCGAGTGTTGCCTCAGCCAGCCCGCAATGTGGCACCCCCACCTCCACCACCCTCTCGAGTTATGCCACGCGCTCCAGCAGCTGCCCCACCCCCTCCTCCACCTGCTACGCCATCCTTCTCAACATCTGTTGGGCCACCACCCCCACCCCCTCCTGCTGGGGGCCCACCCCCACCTCCTCCACCACCCCCACCCCCAGCTTCAGGTGAAAGTACAGGTATAGGAGCACTCCTGTCAGACATCAGGTAAATTATAGAGCTTTTTAAAAAAAGACTTCACATACCCAGGAGGAGGGAGGGGAATCTGACTTCTATGACAATGTTCTTTCTAACATTAGGTGATTTGGGAAATGAGACAGTATTATTTTTTTTTCTGAAAAACAACATATTGTGGTATTACTTTGTGACTTATTTAAGGTCAGTGGAGAAAAGGATGCTGACCTTTTGTGGTAACATGAAAATATTGGGGGGTTTAAATGTAAAATGTGTTTCTCCTTATAAATTTCACATTTGATAAATTTTGTGTGGTTTTAGGTCAGGCAAACAGCTGAGACCAACTGAGACCAATGTAGAAGCACCTAAAGGGGGCGGAGACTCAAGAGATGACTTGCTGAATGCCATTAGGATGGGCGCAGCACTGAAAAAGGTAGGTCCACCACCATGGTTTATCTGGCAGGGATAGTTTGAAGTTGGATTGATTAACCTGTTTTATAGGACGATTAATACCTAACCAGTTTTTTCTTTATGTGTAACTTAAAGCAAAACTTAAATTTTAGTATTGTAGATGCATCTGCTGGTGTTTAATTGTTTGGTTTAAATGACCTTATGGTAAAAATATAATTAATGACTAATTAAAACAATACTGTTTATTAGAGTTGAGACATTAACATGTTTTAAAAATTGAAAACTTACTTGACTAAAGCATTTAAAAATGTATTTGATTAACCTACATTTTCTTTCAGTATGGTTACTAACTTGAACCAAGTGCTGCTCAACTATTTTTGTAATTTGTATTTTTAAAGTTCTGTCCATTGTTTGTTTTTAATTTTCTTTATAGTTCCCATTGGTCTAGTCTATGTTTAACCTACACACCTGTGTACAATCTGTGTGCAATATATTTTCACCTCTGAGCTCCTATATTTTAAATATCTTTACTACTAAAACTGCAGATATATATTTTTTCACCACTAAGCTCCTATATTTTAGATATCTTTACTATTATAACTGCAGATATATTTTTTCACCACTAAGCTCCTATATTTTAGATATCTTTACTATTATAACTGCCGATATATTTTTTCACCACTAAGCTCCTATATTTTAGATAACTTGACTATTATAACTGCCGATATATTTTTTCACCACTAAACTCCTATATTTCAGATATCTTTACTGTCTGTTATAACTGCTGTTATATTTTTTTTTCACTACAGAGCTCTTATATTTTAGATATATTTTATGCTTATAATTGCTGCCATAGGTAGAACCCACTGAGCGACCAGCCTCAGCTACAACTGGCGACGCTGATGGTTTGGTTGGAGCCCTGGCCCGGGCTCTAGCCAATCGACAAAAACAGATCCATGGTTCAGGTAAACTTAATAGCTGCTGGCCAATCCCTAAAGTTGTTGTGCCTGTGAAATACAAGATCATTTGTTTTTTCTTCCGTATCTTTCTGTTTGTGACTTACCTGGTTCTTAACATTTTCTTTCTGAGGGTCTTGTTGTTGTCCATAGCCTTTTTGTTAACATATTGTTAATGTAAGGTTTCATAAAATGCTTTTTAGAAACAAGTTCTTTAGTGTGTGTAACTCGGTCAATCAACCATCCTAGCTGAACTAACTCTTACTTATTTAAATTCATATGATCCTAAAAATAATTCAATTGTTTTCATCTTAACCCTCTTGTGCATCTAATAGTTGAACTTGCTGCCCTTACCCTTACAAATAATAATGCAATAATATGAGTGTTACCATTGCCCAGTGCTTAACAATTGTAATCATTTTAACTATTTGTTGTCAGCCTTCTACTTACATGTAATACCCATTATGACACTGTCCATACATAGTTGCTAAATCTGACATGTCCATTTTACTTGATGCTCGCGTTCAGTGTATAACCTGGCCTAACACATTGTCCAATGTTGTTGTTTTCTTTTTAAAGTATTGTGTGTGTTTTTACAGAAATTGGTGTACACTTGCAATTGACTGTGTGCTTTAATTATGTACCAGTTAGCAATTGTAAATATTGTTGGTGATTGTGAGGCTGTAACCTAACAGCTTAGCTTTGTTACACTTTCTGTGCATGGTTCTTTGGCTCTCAGAGCCCTTCCTCAGGTCCCAGAGCTTTCAGAAACATGTTGGCACACAGAAAAAACAAGTGTTCTTCCACAGTGTTTAGTAAAAACAAGTGTTATTCCACAGTGCTTATAAAAAAGTGTTATTCCACAGTGCTTATAAAAAAAACAAGTGTTCTTCCACAGTGTTTATTAAAAAAACAAGCGTTCTTCCACAGTTTGTAAAAATAAAACATGTTCTTCCACAGTGCTTCTAAAAAACAAAAAAACATGTATTCTTCCAAAGTGCTCACAGAAACAGTCATTAGTTGGAGTATGGCTCATGCTAACTGAACAATATCTTGCAGTTTATTGTGTTTAGTATCAAATCATTTTCCTATTTTGTCACTGTTTTGTGAAAGGTGTCCAATCAGGAGGATAGACCAGTGTCCTCTAATCCTATGGAGATGGATGGTCTGGTGGGAGCTCTGGCCAAAGCCTTGGCTAGCCGCCGCCCTGCTTGTGTGGACAGTGGTGAGACGGCAACTTGACCTATAGTCACTGATCTTATTAGCCAGTGCTCAGAGCCACTCTACTATTTTATACTCATTAGTGGGAATGTAGTTATTGTACGCTACATCTATAGTCAAGTTCTTCAACAGTTTCAATATACCCTAACTCTCTTTGTAGATTTTACTTGGAACTTTTAAATTGTATCAATACTAACTTTAAAGTAATAGATAGATAGAAATGCTTTACTAACAGCGTTCAATATATTTTTCTAAAATTAAAACCATTTTAAGCTAACATCTCTAATATTTTACTTCAAACAATTATATCAGAAGTATCTAATGTTTCTTATTTTTACTAAGCCATTTTCTTTTCCAGTTATCCTTTGATTACAGCTTTTGCAATAACGTAAAAACATGCAGGGGACTCTACTACTTATTAATTGTATCAACCCTTAAACAGTTTAATTTTGATACTACCTATTAATTATATTAAGCAGTTTAATTTTGATACTACCTATTAATTTATCAACCATTAAACTGTTTAATTTTGATAACTGTTGCATTAAATTTTTTTTACATCTACAGAGCCCAAATTGTGCTGATTAAAATGACCAAAAACTAAAACACTGAAATCCATTTAAGAACGTCCCAAAAATGACATTGCTTTTAAACACAAGCTGTTTGTACCATTTATTTTTTGGGCTTTAGAAATTGATTGTTCCAGATTCTTGAAATTACTTTTTACAGGATAAGTTTCCTTCTGTGGCTATTGAATTTAAATGGTGACCTCAAGGCTTTCTGGTGCAGATTTTATGTAAATCACTGAAGTATTTTTTTAATTCTCATGTAATTCTTTTGTCAAAAAAGATTGAAAATCAGGATGATAGAAGTGTAAACAGTGCTTCTGAAGATGGAGGCTTAGTGGGTGCATTAATAGATGCATTAAGCAAACACAGGCTTGCCAAACATGACTCTGGTAAAGTGAACTCGCACCATCATACCAACAGCGTAGATATTTGTCAGACTGAACACTCCAGAATGTAGCAGATAGCTTTTTGCACTCTTTTGGAATGCTTTATATACTATATTCTTTTTTCAGCTGAGCTATGTGCTGTTATATACCACATGAGCACACTTCTGCTGTTTTTAAGCTGTAGATTTGGCTTTCCCATAGTGGTTATAAATTATGTCAAATCCTTTTTACTAGTTCACTATTGTTGTATATATACACAGGAATTTACAAGTTTTGAAATTGTTTATTATTGCTGTTTATTGTTTAAACAGTTTAAAAACTGTTTTAAAAAACATTGAGAAAATTTAAATAATTACTCATTCTCAGTTGGGCTGTCCCACATGAAACTTGTAAAGTTGTTGCTCTGAAATCTATATTGCTATTATGTGTCTAGTTAATTCTCTTATACCATATATGAAATACAGGTTGTCCAAATCATTTGAAACAAGCTAGACTTGGCTTTAAGCCAACCTAGTTGATTTTGTGCAATTTCTATCTGTGAAAAAGGCTTTGCATGTTGGCTAACATATTTTCTGGCTGTTTTATTATGTATTCAGCTCTTGAATTAAATTTGTTTACACCCTTAAGTTTACTGAAACAGATGGATGCCTGTTTTCAGTCAAATGTAAAGCTTTTTTCAGGATTGTGTGTTATTAAGTGAATAATTTCATTTTTAGAATGCCCTGGATAGTAAACATACTTTTTTTCTCTTGTTTTAAAATGCATATCATAAAATATTGCTTGGCCTGTTCCATGCAGCGTGTGCTTCATCTATTTTATGCTGCTAGGAGATACTTGACACACACATATATGTTCATCTCATAGTGGCCTTCTCAATCTAGCTTTGCCATCTTGTACCGTTTTGTACTAATTCAAGCTTCCTTTGTTAACATCTTGTGTAACTCCTTGCTACTACTTAACTGCTACTCATCAATGCATCATGTATTGTCTACTAATGGGATTGCCAGTTTATTTTTTTTTATTGTGCTATATCTTATAATATTTATAATGGCATTAATATTCTTTTTTATTTAACTTATTTACAATACTAACTATATGACTATCTGTGAAGTCAATCAAGCATTAGAAAGACCTTAAATGTTTCCAAGTTAATGAAATAAATCATACATTATGAAATAAATCATACATTATGAAATAAATCATACATTAGCACACAAACATTAAAATTTAGAAAGAGTTTTGTAGAATCATATTTCATTCATCTAAACTCTGCCCATTTGTTTTCAGATGATGAAGACGACTCTGATGATGATGACGACGACGACAGTGACGACGATGATTGGGATGTTTAAATCATTGTTAGAAAAATGTGAAAACTTTGGGTGTTTACTTTCAAAACTAAGAACTGCCCACATTTTTAAATACACATTTCAAAGACTGAAGGTAGCTGTGTTGTTTTTAATCAAAAAAGGCTGCTGCTCTCAGTTTTAACATTTGTTGTCACTTTTAATTTAGGTGTTGGTAATTACAGACATAAGATTTTTTATGCAATCAGCTATTTTTAAAATGGGATTATTTTTCATTCAACCAAAAATTAGTCTCATGTTTTGGTTTTTATTTGTTAACACGCCTTTTTTATTACACACGTCTCATAAAATCTTCTCTCCCACATAATTTAATATGTCAAAAAATTATTCTTTCACCATGCCTGAAAACTGGCACATTTAACAAAGTATAGAATAAGATAGAATTATTGGAACGAGTATTTGTTAATTTAATGTATTTTCTAATGTACAAAATAATTTGGAGTTGTAATTAACCACTTAGAAAAGTTTGACCTTGTTTATGTGCTCAAAATTGTGTATAGCAGTGTTACCTGAAACATTTATTTGCATTTCCAAGGTTAAAATTTAAATATTCCATCTCAAGTTATATATATTTTCTTATTATAAGTGCTGGAAAATGTTTGGTAAATAGATAAATAAGACAAATATTATTTCAACAATTTTAGAGTATTAAATTAATTTTTATGACACATATTTTTCAGCTTATTTTTATTACTTTTTTGCCGTCAGATTTTTGTAAACATGATTTGACCCTGTATGTAAAACTGGTTCATGTAAAATTTAACAGACAAGGAGAACAAGTCTCTAATTAATTAACAAGTATTTTTAGAGCTTAATTAACAATTTGCTGACAGTGGCAAATCAGTGATGCATTTTTTTTTCAACCATACCAATGTTACTCTATTAGTGAAGTGTTCATTTAACAAGTGTACTGGTAATGATGTAAGTTTTATCAGAACCAAGGAGACAGAGCAGGGAAATAAAATTATGTGCTCTGTTTTATTTTGCAATTTAGTTTTAATATGTATGTGACTCAATTTTGTGTGTAGGTGAAGTGGTATTAAAAACAATTTTTTTAATGTGTGTTTTGCTTTTTAACAGAAAACTTTATTACTCAATGCAGTTAGAAAAGCAGCAGGGACTGACATGATATGAAGCAAACTTTAGTGTATACTTGATGTACATCATTAATCACTTCCTACATTTGCAATATAAATCAGTAAAAGAAATGTTTGAGCAGGACAAATGTTAAGAAATGTAGTGAATTAATTCTGTTGTAATGAAGGTGGTAAAAAAGCAACTATAGAAACAAGAAACTTATGCCATTCAAGTCAATTTAATTTTCTTTTTACAAATGAACATTTTTTTAAAGAGTTTCAAACTCTTAACTATACATTACAGCATTAAAACAATGCCATTTAAAATATTGCAGTTTATTAATAAAAACCATATGAGGTTACCAGTTTTATTTTCCTAGCATAATAAAGTAAGAAACTTTTCAATAGAATTTACATCCAAACCAAATTTCTTTTACTAGTTTGCTATGTGTGGACAAAAAAAACCCTCCACTAAATGGCTTACATATGATACAAACTGTTCATTCAAACCAGTCAACAGATAGCCCACACTTAACAAATTTCATATTACACAAACTGTACTGTGGATAATCCAAAATACACATGGCATTTAAGATAATTACAATCCTAATGTACAAACAAGACCTAAACAATTGAAATAAAATCAGATAAATACAATTTTGGTTACTTTTTTTTCTTTTTGCTGGTTATAACTTGCCATCCATCCTCTACTGGGGGTTTCTCTTCTGATGTTTCCATTTCTTCAGCACAATCTGTGTGGGAAAAGATTTTAAAACTACATCAAACATCACAATTTACAAACACAGAATTTACTTTGTACAACTTACAAACACACTGGAACAGTTACAGGTATATTATTTTAATAAACCACACACAGATTTATCAGGTATATTTACTTCTTGGTTTATTAGAGAGTAACGCTTTTGTAACAATACTCCAAACCCAGTAACTGATATGGTACTGTTAATACATTCCAGTTTTAAAACTTATAAAAACTCAGAACAACACATTCTACAAAGATATCTCCCTAAATGTAAACATCTTATAAAATACATTTTCTTAATAAAAAGCTGCCACATTTCATTTATTTCCCCACTCAAAAATGTAAAGAAAAAAAACATGAAAAAAAAGTTCTGCATTTAAAAATGTATTTGAATCGTGTAGTTTACCTGAAGAAGATGGGACATTAGATGCTTGGACTTGATTTGAAACTGTACAAGTACCTGAAGGGCTGGTTTCCACTTCAATATCACACTAAAATTGTATTGTATTGAACATTCAGTGATGCTTAGAAGTAATACAACAGACACAACATTTAACTGAAATTTTACAGATGCTCAGAGAAATTTTAAAATATTAAATAAGTATTTTGTTCTTTAAATGTGCAAATAGTCTAAGAGGTTTATATTTCTAAAAAAATACAGGCCCATCATAAATTATTTTTATATTGTTAGTGAAACCATAAATGGTTGGATATAAAAAAAAAATACGTCTTTACAAAAATGTATCTTACATCTATTTCATCAGATGAATCATTTCCTATACAACAGTCTTGTAAAGATACTTTAGGTAGCATTTGCAATCTTTCCTGCAGCTCCTCCTGCTTATTTTCTTGACACAGTCGATAATATAAACATAACAATCTGGAAATCTAGTAAGAATTTTGTTTGTTTTTACTTTCTTGTATATACGAAGTATAGAGAAAGTATTGTAATCGTGCAAAAAAAAAAAAATCTCACTGATACGGAAAAACATAATTTTGCAATCTTGTCCGTATGTCTGTGTGTGTGTGTGTAAACACGATAACTTGAGTACCGTTACAGCTAGGTTGATGAAATTTCATATATAAGTATTTTATCAAAATCGTAGATCCGTATCAACTTTTGAGTGGTACTTTTTCTACTTTGAATTTTTCAAAAGCCTATAACTTGAGTACTATTTAAGATAGATAAATGAAATTTCACATGTAAGTAAAAGATCTAATTCTCTACCTTCTGTCAAATTTTGAGTAATTTTCGTTGACCGGAAGTACTAATTTACGCTATTTCCGATTTCTCAAAAAACGCATGTAAATTTATAAAGTACTAATAATATTGCGCACTATTATGCACATCTTTATTTGGCGTTCACTTGGTGCGCAATTAATTGGTCTACGAGATTTTATTCTATTTTTAAAACTTTAAGTATTTAAAATTGATTAAAAATCATGTCTATAGCCCGAGTTCCCATCCCCTGTTATTTTATATAAGAATATTCGAGAAAGTTTAGGGGAGATCACTCCCGGTTTATTTTAAACATAATTAATCTTAGGAAAAAAGTTAGACTAGTCACAAGTTTAATTTTACTATTAAATAATGGAAAGTTTAAAAAATTGGTTAAGGTATTCTACTCCTATTAGGTGTGTTTAAAAATAACTTTCAACTAAGATAGAGGTATTAGGTCTAGAAATAAATTATATATGGGTCTACCTCTGGTACACTGTTATCTTCCAAAATTAGATCAAACTCGGTGTTAAGGACATCCTCCAAAAAATCTTCCACTTCAAATGTTTCAATACCTTCTGTAAAAAAAAATCCATGTTAAGAATTTTATTTAGTTCATCCCATTGTGTACATTGATTTCAATGAGAATATAAAAATCAGGCTATAGGCTAAATAAAGAAAGATTAAAAAACAAAATTTCCTAGACTGACCATTCTCTGTAAACCAAGTTTCAATGGCATAAATCAACCACTTTGCTTTTTCTCTGCTCTCTGCTCCCCCAAAGCCGTGCTCCACAGCCAACTGAAACATTTTTATTTTTTATCATGAAAAAAATATATAAAAATGATGACATTTAGTAGGCCTAAAATAAATATATTCAATTCACTAATGAGAATCTTGCATTTCCCTGGGTAAGTCAGTCAGTATTACTATTAATTATTACTATTATCGTTAAGCTCAGAAAAATAATAATGCTTCCCAAAACGAAACAATTTTTCTGATCCAGTCTGATATTTGATAACTAAGTGACGGCTACCATCAGCCTGGTAATTGTCAGGTATGAATTTAAAATTTTACTATTTTAGTTTCTAAGTTTAGCTATGATTAATCACATATTCTAGGCAAATCATAATGATAATACTAATAGTCTAATAGTAAGGCCTGAAACTTAAAAACGTCTTTAATGTTGTTGTTGTTTTTTATACTCATACTTGCAAAGCCTTCCAGCTATTTAATAGTTGCGAGACGGCGTTACCAAAAACACTCATACTACTACTAGCACAAGCCATGTTGTGACTGCAATGTGCAACTGGGTGGCCACATCAAAATATTGAAATAAAGCCAAACAACAATGAAATAAATATACTGTAGTTTACTTTAGTGTACTATTGTTCACCTATTTTCTTTTTGTGGACATTTAATCGATAAAGTTTTACGACTTTCGTTCTCCATAAGCTCGACCACGCGTAAAACTTTATAAAAATAGTTTTAAAATAAAATTGTCAATGTGGCAAGACAACACACACGCACACACAAACACTGTCGATCGCAACACATTACACACACGGTTAAATAATACTTTAACGAAACAAAGATAACTTAATAGCCAAGTTAACAGCTTTTTATATTTAAAAATGTTATAGTAATTACATATAACTTTAAAGATCAGATCAGAAATTCTATTTTTATAAATAGATCTATTGACTTTAATCAATCGTTCTTATTTTTGGGGCCCTATTGAGTTTTTTTTTTAAAAGTCCGGATTTCTATGACAGTTGTAGTTTTACATTTAGAGTTTAGCTGTATCTGGATCAGCTGGTACATTGTTATTGTTTTAAAGTAGGTTACGCACTGTGTCGTTTGAAACAGGTTTTGCTTTACCTGCCGTTGAACTAGACCTAGAATCTATATTCTAGATCTACTGTTCATTCAACAAGGAAGTAAAAGCATGAAACATTTGATTCAAGATGAATAATCAACCTCCAAAGTCTAAATTAGAAAATTGTCCATCCATTTTGCTTGAAGATCATGAAAATACTGTGCTTTTCGAGACAATGGGAAGATTTTCTACTGTGAGTAACGTAAACCGTAACTAACACAAGTAACACCTGAAACCGCAGACATTGAGAGGATTAATGATTTTTATGATTATAGTGATTATAGATTTAATGTAGTACTGTTCAGTGTTACAAGACGATAGGAACAGCAGAAGAGAGATGTTGATATAGTTAACAGTTAGTTAAGTTTTTAGTTAAATAGTTGTAATAGTGAGCTCGTTATTTATGAATATTATTATTATTATCTATATATCTATATAATACTATATATATAATTCTCTTCTGGGATCAGTTAGAAAACAAGCTGCAAGCGCGCCTTTGCAGTCCCCTCTCTTCCTCTCTATCACTACCACCCCCACCCCACCCCCACATGATCTGGTTAGCGGTGTTCACTCTGTTTACATTTTACAATCATAGAGACGGGTTTGGTGACGGCTATTAGGGGCAGATAATTTAGTTTGAAACGATTTTAAACTTAGAGGAGGTAACTAAGAGGAGGCTGCTTTCACGTGGGGGGGGGGGGGGGGGGGGGGTTAGTGTTTTTAAGCAAATATTTTCAATGGCAGCATTGGTACTGTCAAATTCACAAATTATAAATTACTGAAAAGTAGAAAAAAAAAAACTAAATAGCGGCGTATGATACGCAGCGGGTCAGCTCGTAATATATAATTCTCTTCTGGGAGACGTTAGAAAACAAGCTGCAAACTGCGCCTTGCAGTCCCCTCTCTTCCTCTCTATCACTACCACCCCCCCCACCACCCCCACATGGTCTGGTGAGCGGGTATAGGGTAGGGGTTGAGGGAAAGGGGGGGGGGGTATAGGGTAGGGGTTGAGGGAAAGGGGGAGGGGGGGTAGTGTTTTAAAGCAAATATTTTCAGTGGCAGCATTAGTACTGTCGAATTCACAAATTATGAATTACTGAAAAGTACATACCAATGCCTGTTGTTATGCATACGCCGCGGGTCGGCTTGTTATATTATAGAATATCTGAATATAAAAAATCAGTAATCAATCGTTTTAGTAAAATCTGCGAAAAAGTTGCCTCACTTCATTAAGGCTTTAATAGAAGTATATTTTAGTATATTGTGATATATTTGTGTCAAATATTAGGGCCTATAGATAACTCAATAATAAACCGATAATAAACCGAATCAATGGCTAAATAATTAGTAAATATATCAATATAGGCCAGAAAATAACTTAACAGCAGTTGTTTGCGAGCAATATTTGCTATAAGTTGCTGTAAGTTTCCCCAGAATCTCTAACTATAATTTTACCCAAAAAAATTAAACAAGATGGCTGCTAATAACTAGAATCTAGATCTAGATCTCTATATTAATCTATATAAGTATATAGAATAGATCTACTGTATAAAGTTTTTTAGTTTTTTTTTTAGTAAAAACTATAAGGCAGGAATTGTAATAATCATCACAACATTGGCATCATAGTACTCAAGGGGAGCTCAGGACGCTAGAGGGCGCATTTGATTTGATTTTGTCAACAATTATTGTAGCCCAAGTGTATACCCCTTTTTAAAAAGAAAGTAAGCTAAAGTGCTAACAGGGGAGTCTGGGGCGCTCCGGGTCACTCAACTGCTGGCTGGTGCGCCTGGTGCAGTTTTAGCATTGAATCATGTAGTACCGCTTACCCACGTTGGGGCTGCAGGATGCCCTGTCAACAGATATCAAGTGCTAAGATAGCTGCTCAAGAACTCTGGGCACCAAACCACATCTGACTTTTATTTTTATTTACTGTAAATTGAGAAAAATTGCACTCTGTGAGGACACGGACAAAATATTTTTAAAATTTTGCACATTCCTACCCCTGTAGTAGTCTCAATAATTTCCTGAGGTTTCATTTCAATCAGAAGAAAGGTTTAGTAATGCATACAAGACACACAGACAAACACACATACTTTAATTTTCATATATATAGATGTATTAGCTGGCTAAATCATACATCTTTTTTCTTTTAGTCCCTGGCAACAGGTGTTGTGCAGCTCTATTTGGCAGAGCAAGCTGACCGTAACAGATGGAGCAAAATACATTGTGGTGTTGCATGTTTTGTAAAAGATTCCTCAAAGAGATCCTTTTTTTTCAGACTTTATGATATAAAGGTAATGTTTGATTTTAAAATGTGCATAAACATTTGTTGAATATATTTATATATTTTTTATGATGAAACTTGATACTGGTAGGGCCTATATTATATTAATAAAAGTATTTAGTATTCCCCCTGCATTTTAAAGATTTTTAGATTTTTTTTATCCAAAATTTAAAAAAAATTATTTCTTTATCTAGAAACAGAAGTTGCTATGGGAACAAGAACTTTATAGTCAGCTGGTCTACAAAGCACCTAGAGACTATTTTCATACTTTTGAAGGGGATGTAAGTTTAAACATATAATATCCATTTACTTCAGAAAATTGCATTTTGTACAAAAATAAGATGACATTTTTACAATGGCATTTGATTAAAATATAAAATGGCATTCATTATGCTCAAACTTTGACATTTATCTCATTTATGCAGTGGAATTCATCTTGTCCTAAATTATGGCATTTTCTTCTTTCAAAGAATGGCAATATTATTTTATTATGCTTGAGTCTAGTTCTGTGGGTTTTTAACCTTTTTGGATGTACCTAACCCCAGCAGCATCATATACACATTCACTGTAATAGGAAAAATATGACTTTTTTACTATTCAAAACATAGGTACAGGTATTATTTTACTTGGGCTCAAAATGAACTGTGCATCATCACAATATTCAAAGAACAAAACCATTAAAATATAATTTTCACACAAAAGCAAAAACACAATAATGAATATTTACTGCATATCAATGCCATTTCTGCTGTTGCCTTTCAGACAATAGTCTAGTTCATCAAATGACATTCTTAAAAATGACATTTTTTTCTCATTCAATTTTAACAATTAAATAGCAATTATAAAATGATATTCATTTTATGATTGCTGCTTAATTTAAAAAAAAAGAATGACATTTATTTAATTCATGCAAAGGCATTTGCTTTATTCATAAATTGGCATAGTTCATCAAATAAATTTCGCATAGTTTTAGATTTTTTTCAAAACCACTTTTGTATTATTATTTTTTTTCATAGTTATATAATATGTTGTATCATTTTAAAATGTGTTTTATAGTCAGAAAAGAAATTAATTTTTTTTTAACATGAAGAACTGTCAAGTTGGTTTAAACTTTAGCAGTGAGGATGAAGCAGTTAAATTTAAAAAGGTGGTTCAGGATAAGATTGCAATCCGGCAAAAGCGTAAACTACGTAAGATTCTTACATTTTTTTATCCATTAATGTATTCTTTTCTCCAAATGTTCTAAATCTTAATTTTCTTTATTTTTAAATTCTTGTGACATAATTAAATAAACAACTTTTTTTTTTTCTTTATTATTAAATTATTGTGAAATAATAAAATAAAAAACTAGAAAAACAAATAAATGTATAGCTTCAATTTTTAGATATTATGTCAAACTAATTTATGTTGCATTTATTCTAGCACTAAATTCAAATTAAAAAAATGTATAAGAAACAAAAAAAGCACTTGTGTGGATGGAACACTAAAACAAAATAATTTCTCATTCTACAGAGCGAAAACAGCGCATGAGTGCCTCAATGTCAGGAAACACATCCGCTCCAACAACACCGGTACCCTTGCCTCCAAGTATGTTGATTTTTTTAAGAGAACCTCTTGTTTGATATTAAAACAGCAAATATTGCTGATATAATAGACACACATATGTATACTAATACTGTGTACATAGGGTTAGTTTATAAATCAGACCTCTAGTCTGAAGGGGGGAGATGTCTGATTTGTATGAGGATGTGAGGAGTGGGGTGTATAAAACATGTGACATCGTTTATAACCAGACTCTGTATATAATAATTGATTGTTGCTGATCCATGTCCAGAATCTCCATCTTTGGTTTGTGTCAATGTGTGTTGGCATGACACACGATTGTGTAAGCTAAATATACATTTAGCATAAAAAATAAATATTTTTATATTTATTGAGTGAATGGTGAATTGTAAAAAACTATTTGACCCCATTGTATGATTTATCATAGGAAAAAATTTGAACCTCTGTGTAGGATTAATTGCCAGATAAATTGAACCACCTTGCGTGTTCTTTTGCAAGCAACAATTTGAATTCCTCTTTATGATTTATTGCAAGCAACTATTTGTCCCCCATTTTATAATTTTTTGCATGCAACAATTTGACCCCCATTTTATAATTTATTGCAAGCTGCTATTTGACCCCCTTTTTATAATTTATTGCAAGCAACAATTTGACCCCCATTTTATAATTTATTGCAAACAACAATTTGCCCCCAACTTTATAATTTATTGCAAACAACAATTTGCCCCCAACTTTATAATTTATTGCAAGCAACAATTTGACCCCAACTTTATAATTTATTGCAAGCAACAATTTGACCCCAACTTTATAATTTATTGCAAGCAACAATTTGACCCCAACTTTATAATTTATTGCAAACAACAATTTGACCCCAACTTTATAATTTATTGCAAGCAACAATTTGACCCCAACTTTATAATTTATTGCATGCAACAATTTGACCCCAACTTTATAATTTATTGCAAGCAACAATTTGACCCCAACTTTATAATTTATTGCAGGAAACAATATGAGCCCCATTGTGTCCCCTCAGCCAGTGTTTGTGCACAGTGTTGAACTGAGTAAGGTTAACAACAGCGTCCAGAATGTTGACAAAAACAAAAAGAACCAAGAAAATAAGAAAGATGGGAAAAGAAAACTTACTAAGGCGGACATTGGAACACCCTCCAACTTTATGTATGTTTGACACTTTAAGTTTATTACCAAGAATAGACATAATACTTAGAAAATGCTAATGTATTTTTTAATAATATTTATATTAAAAAATAAAATTCTAAACATAATTATCTTTATTAAATTTTAGCTAAAACACAAATATACAATTTAGGCAAAATGAGTTATTTAAATGATTATTTAGTAATTAAAGCAATAGGATTACTTACATAATAAGTTATTTATATGATTATTTAGTAATTAAAACAATAGGATTACTAACATAATAAGTCAGAAATCTTGCTTAAACCAGTATATTTTACTGCACTTTTTGTGATCAATAGATTTTATGTTGTTACATTTTTTTTAAAACAATAGGATTACTGACATAATAAGTTGCCAGAAATCTTGCTTAACCCAGTATATTTTACTGCACTTTTTGTGATCAATAGATTTTATGTTGTTACATTTTTAATGTTGACGCCAATGTTTTTTAACTTCTAGTTTTTCCCTCACATGTCATTCATGTGTATCAGTTTCTTTTGTTTTATTACTCATCTGTAAGTGAAGAAATGATAAGTAAATATTAATATTTTACCTACGTATTAGAGAATTTATGGTTTGATATTTGGTATGTAGCTAATATTCTAAAACACGCAGTTCTGTAAATCTAATAAAATATCTTAATCTTAAAACTAAAGCAAGAAGTGTAAAGACTTTCTTCTCTATCTACAGACATGTTACCCATCTGGGGTGGGACCCTGACAAAGGACTTCAGGTCAGTTCTGGTCAATTAGTTTTGTTTGATTCTTAATTTTGAATTTGATTAATCTGTATTTGATTAGAGAGCACACATAATTATACTTGTATATTAATCTAATCGAGCTTGAAAAAAAGTGACCCTTTCAGTTCTTGTGTGAAATGGCAGTTGAAGTAGAGTGAATTGTTTCTTTATTCTCTGCATCTAAAGAGTGTGTTCAGTTCAATGCCCAGCTGTGTTTACCTTGCTAGTTTGGAGTCAGATGCCCACTAGAGCTGAGTGGACTCTTGGAGTCAGATACCCACTAGAGCTGAGTGGACTCTTGGAGTCAGATACCCACTACAGCTGGGTGACTCTTGGAGTCAGATACCCACTACAGCTGGGTGACTCTTGGAGTCAGATACCCACTACAACTGGGTGGACTCTTGGAGTCAGATACCCACTACAGCTGGGTGGACTCTTGGAGTCAGATACCCACTACAGCTGGGTGGACTCTTGGAGTCAGATACCCACTACAGCTGGGTGGACTCTTGGAGTCAGATACCCACTACAGCTGGGTGGACTCTTGGAGTCAGATACCCACTACAGCTGGGTGGACTCTTGGAGTCAGATACCCACTACAGCTGCGTGGACTCTTGGAGTCTATGGGACATGAGACTATGGGACAGTGTGTCCCATAGTCTCATGTCTTTAGTGTATCAGTTGGTTATCAAATGCTGACATCAGTCAGTCATGTTCCAATCAGTCATGTTCCAATCAGTCATGTTCCAATCAGTCATGTTCCAATCAGTCATGTTCCAATCAGTCATGTTCCAGTCAATCATGTTCCCATCAGTCATGTTCCCATCAGTCATGTTCCAGTCAATCATGTTCCAGTCAATCATGTTCCAATCAGTCATGTTCCACTCAGTCATGTTCCACTCAGTCATGTTCCAATCAATCATGTTCCAATCAGTCATGTTCCAGTCAATCATATTCCAATCAGTCATGTTCCAGTCAATCATGTTGATGTCTTCTTGTTTCACGTCTGTCTGTCTGTATGTCTGTCTGCATGTCATCAATCTATTCTAAGCCTCAGTCTGCCTTTTGGTCCTTTGCTTTAGGTGTGTTTGTTAAAAACCACTTTCACCCCTCTGTTCTCGTGTCTAAGGCAGTTTACATTTATTTTATCTGGATCAGCTTCTAGGTCAGCCTTTTGATCTTACCCTCCCTGTTTTGGTTATATACCACTTTCATCCCCCCCCCCCCCTGTTCTCTTGCTGAATAGAGTGTTGTAACTAAATAAATTTCAGCTGGATCAGCTAAACCCTGAAATGCAAGCAGTGTTTAAGTCCCTAAATATAGATGCTAACTCCAACATTGACAAGGATACTTTGGAATTTATTCAAGAGTTTGTAGAGAACAATGGTGGGTTGGAGGCAGTGAGGAATGAAATAAGGTCAGGGAGAAGTAAGTAAATCTTCAGTTACAGAAGTTAATAATGAAGTTATGGCAGCTACCATGTTTGCTTAGAGGGGCCCCATCATTATTGTTGACTTAGACCAAAAAAATGTTTTGTTAATTATGTGTTCTGATTAGCTGTACAAAGAAAATATTAAAGCTTCAAAAAATTAGGAGGATTTAATAATTTAAGAATCGATTTTATAAAAATTGAAATTTTGGAAAATATTTTTTTTGCTCTAAGTTTAAGGCTATATTTCTATTTTATATACCAACTTGAGATTTTAACATGTGTTTCACCTTGGTAAGACAAACTTCGACCAATCAAAGTATCAAAGTATTTTAGTATCACACGGATTTTAGTTTATATTCCCCATATTTCTTGCTTCCGTTTATCAATTCAATGAGTTTTTCTTTTAAAATTAAAAAACAAAGCCATGTCCTTGTAGGCACTAAAAACTAGGAAAATTTTTTATTTCTTCAAATTCTGCCAAAAATATTGAAAACAACAATTTTTTTTAAAATCATATTCTTATTACCACTTCACGCAGTTTAAAAAAAAATGTAATGGTCCATTTGAGTGTCTAGCCAATTTGTTGACCTTTAAAGTAAGAAATCTTCATTTTTTTTAAAAACTAAATAAAAATCTTCATATTTTCTTTAGTAGTGAGATTGCTTTAAATGATAATCAGCATCTTTCCAATGATAAACCATCTTGCTCCTGACTTTTTTCCAGCCTTACAGGATCACCAACTTAGTAGAATTACTTAATCAGTGCTTTTAGACAACCACTACCTTGCATTGTAAATTTAGATATTTATTTATCCTCTCTAGTTAGTCTCTAATCTAGCATATTTTTCAACTATTTTTCAGTACAAACAGTGTCACACACTGACAACAGAAAGCAGTCTAATAATCTTCCCCCTTCTCTCCCTTCTCGAGAAAACCACCCCCTCCCCGCACCACCAAGGGCGGCAGCACCATCTCCTCCCAGTGCACCACTACCCCCACCCCCTCGACCTAGCGGTCAGCCAGGGAGGAGTGCCCCTCCCCCACCCCCAGGAAGGAACATGCCCCCTCTGCCAGCTACACCCCAACAGTCCCACTCCAGACAACCACCCCCACCCCCACCTACAGGTGGTCCTCCGCCACCTCCACCACCACCACCACCTCTCATGGGTGGCCCACCACCACCACCGCCTCCAATGGGTGGCCCTCTACCACCCCCTCCACCACCTTTTGGAGACGAAACATCAGGAAGGGCTGCTTTACTCTCTGACATAAGGTAAATAAGTTTGTTGAATCAGCTCTGTCTTCAGGGCTCATCCATGGATGATGTTCTGGCAGAGATTGCATGCCTGACTTAAGTCAATTGCATGCCTGACTTAAGTCTATTTTTCAACCAAGTGGAGTGGGGAAATTTCCAGTCCATGTTGACATACACATGTAAAATTCATAATAAAAAAAGATTATTTATCTGCAAACACAGTATGTCACTTAAATAAATGACAACACTTATGTCTTTTTTAAAAACCAAGTTGAATTGGTAGTTAAATCAAGGTATCTAAATTTATAAAACCAGTGGCTCTGTGATGACCTCCCCATCAAGGGGTGGGTTTAAAATTTTAATTTTTTGGGAGGTGATAAAATGGATGTATCCTTATTTCCTTTATTAAATATTTAAATTTATAAATAATCTTATCTTTTAATAAATGATATAAATCAATTTGAAATTCTTGAATATTTTAAATTTTTTTAAAATAAAAAAAACAGAATTATTGAATTAATAATTTGAATCTTGTGTATGACAAAATAAAAAAAGAATGATTGAATTAATAATCCCAATCTGTGCAGGACAAAATTTAAAAACAAAATTATTGCATTAGAAATACTAACATTGTGCATGACAAACTAAAAAAAAACAAGAATTACATTATCAGTAACTCTAATTTTTGCACATGACAATACAGTTCAGGCATCCAGTTGAAACCTACTGAAACAAGGGACAGAACTGTTGACCCTAGAAATGACCTCCTCAGTGCTATCCAAAAAGGAACAGCTCTCAAAAAAGTAAGTTGCCATGTAACTTAGACAATATAATTTCTACAAGGCCCTGTGGATCTCTGTGTCCTCTAGTTTTTACAGCTGCTGCAGATATACTAAATGTTTACTTTTTGCATTAATACCCCCCCCCCCCTCCCCCACTCTCGTTCTTTTGTCAGTTACCTCCCATGTTTTGTTCCAATATAAATGCTAACATTTATTTGTATTTCATCCATTTTATGTACATTTTTTACCGCTTTTTACATTAAAGTTGAAATAATTTCACTACTATCCATCAAGATAGGAGAAGTAACACCTCCAACATGGAAATAATGACTAAAGTAGAGTTTGCATTCCCCCCCCCCCCCCCCCCTTACCTGGTTAAAATACATTATCAAGACACTGAGCAAAATCTAAATTGTTTGAAAATTAGAAACTGAGGAAGATGACATGAAATTGGTTAATATTAAAACATGGCTTATACTTTTGGCATTTCTTTTGTAAAATTTATAGCTATGCATATATTTATATTTATTTGTTGTTTGTTTAATTTGAATTTTTATAGTGTACTTGTATGCTCATAGCTGTGATGAAATTCCTGGTAGAAAAATGTATAGGTGGTAATCAGTGTAAAAATGTAAAATGGTAACAATTACTGTAACATAGGTGGATGCTAGTGAGCGCCTGTCCATAGCTCCCCCAACTGATGCGGATGGTTTGGTTGGGGCCTTAGCCCGGGCCCTGGCCAATCGACAAAAACACATCCAGGGATCAGGTAATCTCATCAGTCAGCTGGGCCTCAATAATGGCACAACTTGATCTCAATCTATACAACTTGATCTCAATCTATACAACTTGATCTCTATCTCTACAACTTGATCTCAATCTTTACAACTTTATCTCAATCTTTACAACTTTATCTCAATCTATACAACTTTATCTCAATCTATACAACTTTATCTCAATCTATACAACTTAATCTCTTCTACAGCTCAATCTATACAACTTGATCTCAATCTATACAACTTGATCTCAATCTATACAACTTTATCACAATCTATACAACTTGATCTCAATCTATACAACTTGATCTCAATCTATACAACTTTATCTCAATCTATACAACTTGATCTCAATCTATACAACTAGATCTCAGTCTATACAACTTGATCTCAATCTATACAACTTGATCTCTTCTAATTAATTACTTTTGCACCATACAGCTAAATGTCTACATTATACTATTTTATCTCTTATCACTTTTACTTCATTTTTTTACATTATACAGCTCAATTTCCACATCACACAATTTTATCTCTTCTACTTTATTTATTTTAATCCATTTGGCTCACTTTATACTATAATATACAGCTTAACCTCATCTACAACATACAACTTAACCTCTTCTATAACATAACAGGTTAATCTATTCTACAACATTCAAGTTAATCTGTAGCTAACTTAATCCAAGGAGTGATACTGGAGCACATAACATTACACTGCTAATATCAACCATAGTTTATTAACTTCTCACACATTGTTAACTGTTCACTTGCTAGTTTGATAAACATCAACTTATAATCAATTTTTGTTTTCAACTAAAAAAAAATAACGAAATGTAGTGTATTTTCTAGTTGCTTCAGTAGTATATTCTGCAAACTTGTTACTGAAATTACTTAAATGCATTCTTTAAAAAAAAAACTTTAATACTCATGAAAATGTTATCATAACCTAATGGTTATGATAAGATTTTCTATTAAAAATTTTTTTTAAGATGCCAAGTTATTATTGTTATTTATGAAAAGTAAAAAAAAAGTTAAATTTTCATTTATTCATTTTTATTTATTTATCATATTTGTAAATCAAAATTTTAATACCATTGACTTTGAATTTCTTTAATTTAACTTTGTTTTATTTTGTTTTTTTTTAACAAAAAATAAAAGCCTATAGTTTTAGAAAGCTAATTCTCCACAATGCAGAATCTGTCTATATTATTAAATGTCTGAACTGAGTTTTTATTTTTATTTACCAAATTAACAATAGCTTTATGCATTGTTGTGTTTAAAATAAGTGCAAGTTATTTATGTAATGCTACATTTATATGTTTCAAGAACATGTAAATATGTTTGCTTTATTTCTTAGCTAATTTTTAATAGATGGCAGTAGTTTTAAACTTTATAAATTTTTTAACACTTTAGCAGTATACACTACTATTTAAAATTAAAACAACTTTACTTCACAATAGATTTTTTTCATTCTAACTTTTTCAATTTCAATTGGATGTTTAAATTCATATGAATTTATCTATTTAACTTTGCACACTAATGATATTAATTTGATTGTGTTAAAAAAGTCATAGTGTATTCAAGTAATTTTATGCTAAATAGCAGTTCATTATATTTATAACTCGATTTTGAGTGATAAAGTCTATTATTGTTAATGTCTTAATAATTAAAAAAACAGAACAAGTGGTCAATGAAAATTCTGCACTCGCTGCACACCTATGCCATTAGGCTTAAAAAATGAACTTTATAAGTAGATTATTTTACCTATATACTTCCTTTTTTTATATCAATATTTTAATTATTTCAGATGATGAGGATGATGACGATGATGATGACGAAGATGATGATGAGTGGGACTCTTAAATTGTTGTATATGATTTATAATATTACAGTTGATGCCTATATTTATTTCAAATATATTTTCATTTAATAGTTCTATTTAAGTCTAGTAGAATATGGTTTTGTTGTTTTATTAGTTTATGTAAATATTTAATTAAAATTAAAATATTAATAGTTTCTTTGTGTATGTCCAAACATTGTTAGTTTTGAAAACTTTTGGTTTGTTTGGAACTAGTAACTAGTTTGTGATAGTAACAATTTTTTACATTTTTCAACATTATTATGTAAATATATTTTTGTAGTAAAAAAAACATGTTTCATGATTATCCCGGCCTTCTGTTTTTTTATGTAATTATCCTGATTTATTAGCTTAATAACAATATTTCTATAGTTAATCTGTCTAAATAATTCGCCTACTTTTCAAATCAGTCACACAAAAATGGCTTTGGTTTTTCTGCATAGTACTAACAGGCACCCCGTCAAAAGAGCGCACGACAAAAGAGCGCCGACATAAGAGCGCAGTCAATTAAAAAAACACATGTTTTATGCTAAACGAATATGACATGGTTAACACTTGTTTTAATTAAACAATCGGCGGTACGATAAAACGACATGTGTTTATTTATATATTAGTATAGTATGTTATGAATGCAGTTTGAAAATATTTCTAACCCAAGTAACATGGAGATCGAATCAAAGAAAGGGAAGGTTATTATATTTGATGGAAGTAGCACCTCGTTTGCCGGCATACGTCGCTTCACAACGTGCAATAGAAAGACAGAAAACGCAAGCAGCTGCCATACCCAAATCTCCAGAACGTTGCAGAGAAAACAATTCCTGGACCTCTTCAAAATTTAGTCTTGTGGGATTGCGGACCGACTGACGTTTACAGAATGATGATGTTCGGAACAATGGATATTATCAATCGTCAATACCAGTTTTTTAGTTAAAGAAAAGGGTCGGCGTGGTCGAGTCGGTAAAAGTCTCGATTTCGAACCCTCGGGCAGATGAAGCTCGTTAGCTGGGGACAGCCACTCTTCTAGGAGAGAACTCCAAAATCAAACATCTGCTGCCTTGTAGTTTGTTCTTGGTTGGACAAAGGCTATGGAAGCAAATCCAAAAAGAAAAGCAGGCTGAAATCGGAGTCAATGGCCTCAATGGCGCATAACTAGTTGACACGTATCCTTAATTGTGATGGAGGCATGGTCGAGTCGCCAAAAAAAAAAAAGCTCATTGTTGATAAATTCGAAAAAACCTCAGTTCAAATCATCTGCCAGATAAGGCTCGATCCCTTTCAACACTAAAAATTTAGAACGAAGAAGAAGAAGAAACTTCACACATAATTAATTAATATACACTGTTTGAATCGTGTAATTCATTTTTTAAAATTACAATACAGACACAAATTCAACTGATGTGGCACCTCTATTTAAATCTACTTATGGCTGAACAGAGGCGTATCCAGGTTTTCAGTGTAGGGGGAGCGAAAAATAGCAAAAAAGGCGCCGAATTTGTAATATGTTCTATATACGTATATATATATATATATATATATATATATACGTATATATATATATATATATATATATATATATATATATATATATATATATATATATATATATATATATATAAAATATTGGGCGTAGTTTGTTTTTGTTACCTTCGTACAATTTACTGTATAATAGCATTATGTCTTCTAAAAATTGGAATGCATAAGATGCGTAAATGAAGATATTTTTATTGCTTAATCAGTTTTACAAAACGGTTTTCATTTTAAATTCAAAAAGAAACAACAATAATTTAGTAAGGCCTATGTAACACGTGTGATAGCAATTTTGTTTTATCCTGTACTCTAGAACTTCCGTTAGAACTACAACATCCTTTTTCGTAGAGGTTTCATTTTAGCAAAATGAACAATTACATCTTTTAAAACAACATCAAAAGCTTATTGCCGTTCAATCGTAATCAGGGCTAAGCTGGACAACCTGTCCTCGTTCATAGTAGAACGGATGTTTAAGAGTTTAAGACGGCTGAAGGAACTTTCTGCTCCGGTACTGCTTATTGGTAAAGTCAGAAATATACGATACAAAGTGGCCAGGTTTGGATACATGGAACACAAGTCATTAGCTATCATCAATTTCAGAATGCTGTTTAATGTCACCGCTATTTCTAGAGGTTCTTTTGCAGTTGAAACTCCCTTGTTTACATTGCTTACACTAAAAACTTCTTGGTAAAATGTTCTAAATGATACGAATTCCTGCACTATTTCAGTTACACTGTCAACAACATCCGAGTACGTCACTGCTAATTGCTGCAACTGTATTAAACTGTCATCTAATGCTAAATGTTTTGGGTCTAAGCAACTAAACTTGGAAGACACATCTTTAAAATTTTGAAACCTTGTGTTTGTACTAGTTATGACAGAGTCAAGTGACACTAAATAAGTTTGAATAATGATTTTTTTTACTAGAGTCAGATATCTGAGTATCCTCTGCTCGTTCGTCATGGAATCTTTTCCGTTTGTATACCCTGTGTTGCTTATACTCCGTACGAATATCAAATTTCTCAGCCAGCTCAGTGGCTTCGTTCTCAATCTGCTCAAATTCTGATTCAAATTCATTTCTCTAGCTACTCATCTCATTTTAAAAAATCTGAATTAATCGAAAGGCTGTTAACATATCAATGCTACTCTTCTGTAAATTAAATGGATACGTTAAAAGCCTTATGCAGAATTCTTTTCCAAAACATTAAAACAACTAAAAACTCAAAGGTCTCTATTGTAACAAGAATTCCCTTTCCTTCGGCAATCTGTTTAGAAGTAGAGTTTTTAACTTCACCGTCAACTATTCTTCGCAATGCAAGAACTAGTGCTGGTAAATTCTGCAATATAGAATCTACTGCTGTCTTTCTAGAAGCCCATCTTGTATCTTTAAGTCGTTTCAGTGTTAATGAAAATGCTTCTATGTTGTTGCGTTGCTCCTCTTGCAATATAGAAAGACGAGGTAGACTTCCGGTAAAAAATGTATATATGCTTTCCAGAACTCCAAAAAATAGCAGTGTTTGAATATTAGATGACACAGCATCTATGAGAATTAAATTTAAATTATGAGCACAGCAGTGTGTGAAGAGTGCATGTGGAGCTATTTCTCTAACTCGTTTTTGTCGGCCTGATATTTCACCAGACATGGTGTTTGCTCCATCGTAGGACTGACCATAGCACATGGTCATTGACAGCCCTAAGTCTGTGACTGCTGTAAGAAGCGTTTTAAAAAAAACCTCTGCACTAGCTTCAGGAACATCACAAAATTGAATAAATCTTTCGATGGCGTCTCCATGTTCAGTAACATATCTGATTGACAAAGAAAATTGATCTATTCTATTAATGTCGATAGTTGAATCCACAATCACAGCGAAATACTTAGCTATCTTAATTTCACCTACTATCTTCTTTAAAATTTGGGCTGATATAGACTTAATTAAGTCTTTTTGCATACCCGGACTTAAGTATGTTGCATTTCTGTCACCGAAAGTAAATGTTGTTTTAGCAAATCATCTTTCTTAGAAATGAGTTTAATAAGTTCCAAAAAGTTGCCTTCATTTAATGAAGCTTCTCCTAAACCTTGGGATTCACGATGGCCCCTAAACGCCAATCCCTGTTTTCCCAAGTAGAGAACTGCATCTTTTAATACTTTCCAGTATTACTCTGTTTTTTTCTATTTCCTTCTTTTCTGATGTTAAAATGTCACATATTATGGTTCTGTCTTTGTAAAGTCGGAACTTTGTAATTACAATTTCTCTCTCTGCAATCTTGTGACTTTCAGAGTTTTCATGTTTGTTAATTTTGTCGGGACCTTTTGCATAGTTCATACAACCCAATTTTGGATCGCCCCAAGTGTCTGACTTGTTAGGATCGCCCCAAGTGTCTGACTTGTGTTTAAAAAGCCAACAAGCAAAACAAATCATATAATTTGCCTTGGGCGAATATACTAGCCAGTGTCGTATTATTTCCCGACCACATTTTGTATGGTTTTTTTTTCTTGTACCAACTGGCACTAAAGTGCCGACCAGTTAAATTTTTGGGAAAATCTTTATAACCATCTTTGAGGCCTGGTTGACAAGGACCAAACTCAAGTAATGCACGCACCAGATCCGGTGTTACGGGTGTTTCACAAAACAAAAAAGGATCTGTAGGACATTGCATTGCATCGTAATGGTTATTTTTAGAATGGCAAACTTATGCAGCTGTTAATACGTGTTGTAAACGTAGACAGTACTAGACTAGTACAATAATCCTTAATTGCTGCATGAAAAGAAATCTTGTGATTTACATAGATGTGCCGACCAAAAATATTTTTTTAACAAATATCATTGTTTAAAACTTTGAGTTTAAAAAGTTTCCAAAAAGGCGCCACTTTGCTGAAAATGGCCAGAGGGGGAGCGGCCGCTCCCCCTGCTCCCCCCCCCCCCTGCGTACGCTACTGTGGCTGAACTTCGTAGCGGTGGGGAAACTTTGACAAGGTCAACAACATCATCACGATGAAGTAGTAGTATTATGACAGTTTGGGCGATAGTGATCACGATTACAAATTAAATGAAACAGTATCAACTTTATATTAATTATTATTTTAGTTACTAGATCTAGATCTATATTAAATTTGAATAAGGCTATATTTTGTATTAAAAAACAACAACTCAACTTAAGCTAACACTGATCGCACAGTTAATTATCCACTCAGCTCAGTGGAGGTAGCGGGTTAGGGGGCTACACACCCCCCCCCCACCCATGGACCCCTCTGTAAAAAATATCTATTTCTGAATCACTATACATGTGTAATAGAATATGTATGTTTAAAACAGTCATCTAAAAACTCTGGGTTGTATAATTGATCTAAAGTGACCGGACAGTGATTAATGAAGTTGAATTCCCCCCCCCTTCCCCCCCCCCCCCCCACTCACCCCGAACTGATCTGTTAAGTACATTTGGGAAAACGCGTAATGATGTACCAAAGAACATGCCGCCAGAATCATAGCTTTTGAAACGTAAATGTCTGTGAATAATTTTTTTGCAATTACCACTAAAAAGTGTGTGAAGTGTGAGCAATACAGTTATCTAACCCACACCTTATCATTAGGGGTCATCCATTTATGACGTCCACACGAGGGGGGGGGGGTCCGAAAAAAATTGACTTTTGTGGACAGGGGGGAGGGGGAGTTTTGTGGACGTCCACACATTAAATCTAACATTATTTTTGGCAGTGTGAAAGAAAAATATTTCCTAGCGAAGCT